TAATGAGAAGTAACTCTGGGGTAGATGAGCTAAAATTAATCAAACATCAATGAATTGTTTTGCTAAAAATGTCCTGACTACTCTCTGACCTCCTTTTCTCCGACTGCTTCCTGACTGAGAGGAATATGAAACAAATGTTACCTTTTTTGTGAAAATAAAGTCGATATTGATTCTGTAAACAAACAGCTGGTTTTATTCACTACGAAGGACAAAACAACAAATCTAAATCCACTCAGATTACAAATAACCTGTTCAATCATGAAAAAGAAAGACCTTCTTAAAAGAAACCATACAACATAATGCATGATGCGCAGAGGAAGTGAAACTTACACTGTTTTTTTTATCACTTAACAAGACTATTCTGATTCACTGACATCAAAGTTTTCAGTGTCCCACATAAATATTCATGTGAGAAGCAAAGAAACAAATGGAGAAAATAAGACATGAAATGCAGATTAGCCTCTTCTGAAAAGATATGCAAAGAGAAAGCCAGACACTTTTCACATGAGCAGAAAGTCCACATGCATATATACGTATATACGTATATATATATATATATATATATATATATATATTTATATTTATACTATATTTATATTTATACTATATTTATTCCTCCCCACTCAGATTCAACAAGACTTTATTTAAATAAGAGTTTAAAATTCATAAGGTCACATACAGCTAAGGATGTCATTATAATTCTAGAAGGCCATATACCAAAATAGAAGTGAGTTTTATGTGTCTTTAAAAAAAAAGAGGAAAATGAATTATACAATCATATTGAGTAACTGATATAGTAGCAGACTGGTTTGAATTTAAAGGTATTTTAGGGCAGTATTCTATGAGGTAATAAAGAGGAGAAAGGTCGCTAATACTGTAATTAACATGAATTTGAACAAGGTTATCATTTTACATCAAATAAACTTTAAAAAAATAACTAATCCAACATTTCCTCACATGCATAAAATGACCAGATAAATAACACAGTCTTTGGCACCTTCAAAATGTTAGGACCATTCATGACACAAACAGTGTCGCTTCTCTTTTTTTTACTGCTAGAATCGATATGGCCCAAGTGAGTCGCTCAGGTCGAGACAATCTGAACTGAAGTAGTCCAAGGTCCAAGGGAAACGTAGCAACAGTCTGCATAATACTTGATTATTACTCTGCATGTAACATTAAAATGAGCTTTAACTTAAAAAATAGTTAGAAATCCAGTGCTATTGAATTTATAAAAATAACATACATCTCTGCATCTGCACGGTCTAAAAAAAGCTCTACAGAAAGCTGCTTTAGCAAATCAATAAAAAAGACTTTCCCTTTGAACGTAAAGAGACACTGTTAGACACAAGCAGCCTCAAAAGAACCAAACCAAAAGCATTCAGACATGCAAACTACTAACAGATAAAGAATACATCAGGAATATGACATAAACCCTATCTTCATCTCACTCGTTTTAAAAATATCTTAATCCATTTGAAATATCCTGTTCATGTAAAGGCTCTTATTCCACATAGAATATATTTCTTTCATCTATATACACACTCTGAGATCAGAAAAAGCTTTAAATTAATTTCAGACCGATCTATGACATCTAACAGCTTATTTTAAATATAAATCTATCAACCAGCACTATTTTGACTTTGATGATTTGTGTTCTAAAACACATCTTTTTTTTTCCTAAACGATGGATATCTGAACATGGAACAAGAGCCACATGTCAACTTACTGCATGATAATTCATTGAAAATGGGTTAATTCCTCCTAACAGTAATGGGGAAGAGATAAGAACAGTCTTAATAGTTGGTCAGAGGTTTCTTGGAGAAGCGGGCTTATCTAAATCCTCTTGGCAGAGCTACGTGAAGAGTGAGTGGAGAGTGCAGAGGAGAGCTTAAATTTGCCTGAAAGGCAGCTCTTAAAAGTAAGGTAGCAGCAGGACGTTCTTCTGAAAGAGCCCGACTTTAATTTATTGTTCAACTTATTCAATATATTGCATTCAATTATATCAAAAAGAACAAATTAACCGCAGAACAAACAATCCATTCATTGACATAATATTAGTAATACAGCAAAAGGTCCAGGCTGAATGATCTTAGAACAGGATTTCTTCTTATTCCTTCTCCTTCCTCTCCTGTTTAAGAAGTTTGCTTGTTTCTTGCAGACTGATAAGAGGTGTCAATGTTGAGGACAAAAACACACGTCCCTCCTTTGTGTGTTTGTTGTCACTTATAGCATAAGGTGACCAGATTTTGGTTTACGTCGCACTTTCCACCAATGCACCATCGCTGTCGCTCTGTCTCAGTGACTGCCTGCTGGAGTCTCTCTCCGCCTCATCCTCCTCATCCGATCTGCCAAGACCCGGCTGTTTACTGCACACAGGAGGGCTATAAGGGTCAACAGACATACAGACACAACATTATGTCATTACTCGGCTGCAGACTGTAGAAACAAAACTGAAAGGTGTCGGATGTTGTAAAAAAATAAAAAAAAAAAATGTTGGCATGGGACACCACAAGCAATCTAGGCTACGAGATTACAATCTTCCCCAGGCAGCCAACAACGGTGCCCCTGAGGTTTGAATAGCTTATGTGCACATTGCTATCGTGGCTGCAAACTAACATTTATTTTTCAATTTGCATTTGCAAAAAGGCATTACTAATATTCTTCGTGCATGGTCGTGCTGAAAAACCTTTATGGAATAATTTCAAGAAATGTCCCTGGACTACATTTAGCCAAACATGAGAGCCACAAATGTCTCGTTAACATTCACAATCGACATGCAGGAGCACATTAACAGCGGCACATTGTTTGCATGATAGTAGATAGTTGGTGTAATTACCAGGGAGAAAATGAAACATGGCTTGTGTCATGCAAAGGGTTAATTCAGCACTGATGAGCTAAGTAACTTCTACCTCAGCTGGCAATTATTCTGTGTTCCATGTTGCAGCCTGCTTCTCCCCAACACACTGGTTAAAGGTCACTTAGAACCAGAGCTTTACATCCTTGAATAATGTTGCCATGACCACATGGCATAACAGTTACTCAATGCATTACTGGAGTGGTAGGTTCAGTGACTGCAGAGATTTCATACTCCCACACTGACATGACCACTGATCTCTGCTGTTCTATAGCAAGAACGTCCACATAACTGGAACTGTCAATTATCCTTATTATACTCTACAGATGTTATTATATCAATTATGCAAAAGCTGAAAGCAACATATTTTGACACTTTGAAAGTACTGCTGCATGTTGTCTTTTAAAAAGTATGTGACTGCTGCTACTATTTGGTGTTGCAACGTGTAAGTAAGCCGAGAAAATCGCTGACAGAGCAGATGAATACCTTCCAATGGGAGCTGACGATCACAATTTACGTTCACCTGCATTTTTGTGGGTGATTTCCAGGTTCAAATGTTCTAAATTAATTTTATTCCAAATGTACCAAAAAGTGATGTGAATGTGGCAGAAAGTATTAAAGCACCAACAAAAGCAGGATAGCATGTGAGCAACACTGCTATTTTAAACCTCATTGTTACTTGTGTAACCCGGAGAAACATCATGAGTCCCATAATGACATCTTTGACTGACAGCTTAAAATGAAATGTTATTAATCTACCGTGAGAATGAAATGATGTTTAAATGAAGTGTTTATATCAACTTCTTGTTATAGATGTTTTCAAACGTTGTGTGTGAGACGGAAGTGCTTTTGGCAAACAGGTACAGTGGAAGCTCTGCAGATGTGTTACAGATGACATTTGGAACACAGATTACAGACCTAAAGATGAGACTCTGAAGTGAAACATTGCTTTTTACTCTGGGGTGAAGTGTCATTAGTATAGCTTTGATAACAATTGCATTGGGAAAATGACCACCTACAGTGTGCCTTTATTCAGATTTAGTTCCCTCAGCTTAAATTCATTCATCTTGTAGTGCTAAAGCAAACAGCCAGGTTTGGTTTGAAAGGACAGGTAGTATAGTTAAGGTCAAATGAACCAAAGTAACCCTCAGACATGCAGCCTTGCATGTTTCAAAATGAACTCGTCAGAGATGCTTAAAATGTCAGAACAATTACTCGTAAAATAGATGGGCTTATGAAGCTTCCAGCCAATCTTAGCATTTTAATTGTGAGGCAAAGTACCCACATGAAGTAATATCAAGTCATGTCACACATTTGAAGACTCCTCGAAGATAACATGCTAAAACAAAAATTGGTGTCATTTGGGTTTTTTACTAATTGCCAGCATCTGTTTTGTGCTTGAAGAACAGCCGCGGGGAAACATTCTCTTTCAAATATGTGTACTCAAAACAGCATCAGTCACAACATTAGGAGAAACACTTCCATTTTGCAGAGATGCAATCCATCTATGCAAAATGGAATCAGGAAAGTAAAACCGCGTTTTCCGACAATAGTTTGTCTGAGTGGTATTCAAATGCAATGCTTTTAACGATCAGAAGTGGGAAGAATAAACCTTGAAGCAACACTGAGAGAAAGTAATTGTCAGTAAATTGCAATCACAGAAACATATCTGTTGAACATAAATTGAAATGGAAACAACTGACATTTGAAATTTACAACCAGAATGTCAATTGCTACTATATTTGAATATGTGTTAACAGACATTTAAGGAAAGAAATGGTTTAATTATCTGTCGATGATATCCAATGTTTCTGGAATTGACAGCTTGTGCCTCTTTTGTTCTCAGTGGGAACAGTTCAACTAAATACAACTCAACTCTATTGGCATTAGTGTTCGGACTACAAGCTACAAACACAAACCAGCATACGTCCATAACCAACACTCTTGTCGCCTGGCAACAGATCCTGTATACATAAGCAGAAACCGTTAACTGACGAGTCTTTCACAAGGATTATTCACGTCGAATCAGTGCAGACATTCATTCACCGCAAACGAAGTTAGTACATTAAGAGAAAAATCCATTAGTCTCTGTTTCAGTAATGTCAGGCTCCTGGTTTATCACACAACAAGCATCACCTTTCACTGCTGGTATCAGTCACTGTCAGGCTTGTAGAGGTACTTCATCACCAAGTTATCCATCTTCTTTTGCTTCTTCTTTGTGTCCTTCTTGCTGGACGGCTTAGGCTCCTCATCGTCATCATCAGATGGCTTTTTTGGGTTCCTTTTGACACTGTTGGAGCTGCGGTAGGAGATTGTCGAGTCAGAGGATGAGGACTCTGATGACTCTGACGAGGAGGAGGAGGAATCCTCTGACTCGCTTGGCTTCTTCTTGGATCTCTTCTTGGACTTCTTCACACTCTTCCCCCTTGAGCTTCTTCTGCTTTGACGATCGTCTGATGAAGAGTCGTCTGAGAGAGAGATTTTACTTTTTTACTTTCTTTATCTCTGCGGCTGCGGAAGCTGCTGCTGCTGCTCATGATGCTGGATGGTCGATTGTAGTCCAGAGCAGAACCTGATGCAGATCGAAGCAGGCCGGATGAACTGGTACCGAGCCCGTCGTTATCTCCCTTTTTCCTGCTTTCCTCCCTTCCTGGACCTTTCGTTGCATCTTCTTCCTCACTACTAGACTTCTCAAGTTTGCTGCGCTTGAACTTAATGGGTTTGAAGCTCAGCACCTCATTAATTGCAGCCTCCAAATCAGGATCCAGGTAGTTGCGGTGGGTGACGGTCTTAATGTCTGACAACTCTGTTGGATTATTGTCTGAGGTGCGGGGTTGAGGCGGGTTAGAAAAGCTTCGACTGAGGGAACGAGGACTGAAAGATGAAGTTCCCCCTTCGGTAAAAGCCACACTTTGGCCATCGTCGTCATCGTCATCATCTACGTGCAGGCCAAATTCACTCAGGCCACAGCTGCGAGCGAGGGACAGGCGAGAGCTACTGCGTCGTTCGTCTTTCCAAGAGGAGCTACGATTTAGCAAGCGTGGACTAGAGCGGCTCACGCTGCTGATAGTGGACTTATTGTCATCATCCATGTCCAACAATCCCCTCCTTGTGGACATCCTGCTGGGAGCCACAGAGGACACCATGGAGTCCTTATCGAATTCAGGGCTACTGCGGGAAGTCCAGCGGGATTCAAAGCCCTTCCTGGCTCTGCTGGTGGCTTCAGAGTAAGCCATGGAGATGACAGAGCCTTTATCGTCTAAGTCTTCCTGTGCTTGGCTCTTCTTCCAATCCTCCTGGAGGTCTCCGGACTTAGACTTGGCTTTGCGCATGGAGGCATGGTCCGGTATGTCAGGTTGCTCTTTCAGAGTGCTAAACAAGGAGCTCTCATCACCTTTGCCTCCTATGGAGTCTTTGAGGTTGGAGCGCTTCCTGTAGCTGAGGGAACTCATGACAGACACTGATCTGTTCTGCTCTACGTCTTTCCCCTCTTTACTTCCATCATTCGTCTTTTCTTTTGCTTCTTTATCCTCTTTAGCATCTGCATTTGCTGCATTTCTAAAGGGATATGCAATACAATTGACGGCAGAGACAACCAACAAACATAAAAATTGAAAATCAGAAACCAAACCCAATGTCATCTCTCCTTTTTTTTTGCTTTATAAAGAGCTTTAAATGTCACCAGATTGATCAGAAGAGTCTTAAGTTTGGGTATCTTAATACATATCTGTAATGTCAGACTAAAAATCAGTTTTCTTTATTTTATCCATGGAACCAGTCTAGAGTCATGGAACATATGCAATATCTCTTTATATTTCAGTTATGTTTAGTGTACACTGTAGTAGTGAGGAAATCAACCAGTGAGAAATCTGCCTAACTGTGGCAGAGATGTCATTTAGCAGGCATGCCAACTGGCCACGGGCCACTTCAATAAATTTGACAGCAGTTGCTTCCCTATCCCGCCTGCTGTCATTAGACAGATTACTGGGAGAGAGAGCGAGATGACACCTAATCACATGAAATACCCATCCTTCTGTTACAAACTGCCCCAGGTAATCCTGGGCCTTTTCAAGGCTGGGAAAGAGTGGAAGTTTTTCTCCCCGCTTAACAACAGGGAAGCACATACTTAGCTGTAATGATGCAAAATGTTGGGCGTACTAACCTGGTGCTCTTCAGACTGCTCTCATCCGACGTGGTCTTTGACGAGCCTTTGTTCTTGGAGAGCCAAGACTTAACTCCATCCACACGGTCTTCCACCTCCGAGTCTGTTTCTGTGTCATCCCCACTGTGAAGGAAAAAAATCAGCCAGAGTTTGAAGATTCTGAGACTCCAACACAACAAATGATCCTAACAAGTCATTTGGACATCTTCAAGTGCAAAACGTTTTAATCAGATGACTAAATCCAAATGCAAATTTACTTCATTGAACGGTTTTCCCAAATCCTCATTCAGCTTCCTGATACTAAGTGGTTTAATCTGTCTTGTGTGAATATTCAGAATCAATTTAGTCAGATTATAACACAATAATTTAGACTCAATGACTTGTTATGTGCACATTTTTGTAGTGTACCATGACAGGAGCCACACAGGGAGATGAATGGTTAATTTAAACAAATTGAAAGTGTTTTGTTAGTAATATCACAGTTGTATTCATATTTTCATATTAATAGGGGTCAGTTTTATGAAAAGATACTCAAGCATAGAGGTAGGCATGATCCTGAGGTGCGATAATAGTAACAGGTTAGAGGTCTTTCTGAGACAGAACAAGGAGCACACATAAATTAGTGAATGCATTCCCAAGGCACAATGTAGATGAAGCTGTACGGTGCATAATGAACTTGTTTGGCTGGTTCCGGGCTGCTAGCATCTGTGTGGCATGTCACCTGCTCCTGCTGATTGTTATTGGAGTGGAGCCATGAGACAGCCCTGTGGCCCTACACTTGACACAACAATCAATACACAGAGACCGGTGAATCTCCATGGAAAAAGCTCGCAAGATCCAACCTGGATGAGGTCAATCCTCATCCATGTCAAATACAGGCAGATTTTCTGAATTATGCATCGCATTGACCTAAAAGGTAAAAAATGACAATGAAAATGTAGACAGAGAACAATGAGAAGTGCAATAGCCTCTAAATTAGTACAAGCATCAGGGTGCATCTGTGATTATTTAGGAAAACAGTGCTTACTTCTGTGTTTAAAACTGTGTTACTGAATATTTAAGCCTAAGTGTTTTTCATAATGATAACCCTAACATACATTGTTTTTTTAAATATATATCTGGTGGTTATTTGTCTTTTTAAACATTTTAATTATTATTCTCTTTTGATATCTATCTTCATTTTCCTTTGGTCAAAATTTATTCTCTCAGAATTCAATTGTTGTTGATTTTTTTATTTCCATTTGTTTTGTTTTAATTGTCCCTATCTAAAGTGCCCTAGGCTACATGTTTGTCTGAAAGCTGTTGTATAAAATTAAGTTACCTGACAAGCCTACTAATACAAAGCCATCCCACTCCACCCTGTTCGCCTCAGTTCTTCAACCCACCCTCCCTTCCCTTACTGCCCCTCATCCATCCACCCTCCTTCCTCATCTCTTCATCTTGTTTGTCTACTTCTAGGAATAGTCTGGCCTTGTTCAGCCCGGGCAGAATTATGCATGAGACAGAACCCCTATCCTGAGTCTCCCCTCTGCCCTGAGTATTCAGTCTATTCTCCCAGACCACCCAACCAACAGCATCCTCTTCAATCATAATCATTACCTCAACATACATTCCTCTGTCTCATCATTCATATGATCTATGATGAAATATCTCATGCTGTTGTTGTTTGGTCCTTGCTGGTGAATGAAGCTGTGTTAAATGAAGTTGGCATTTCTTTGGCTATAAGATGTGTTTAAAAAAACATTTATATGCATGTGTTTTGAAGGGCCTCAGCTACATTGGACTTGTGTTGCCATGGTAAGCACTGTCAGAGAAAAATTACATTTTCCATTCTTTTGTTTTGGGTGTCAGCGCAGGACAATGCACTGTATATTAAACACGCTGTAGCAGGCAGCAGTGACAGGGTTTTTGTAGAAGAGCAGCGATTTTCAGTTCCTCTTGATTTATAACAGACTTCATCTATACTATTATTTATAGTCTTATCTACGGCAACTTTCTACTCACATCAATCTTACATGTTTGACTTGTTTATCACTAAATTGTCAGTTTATAGCATGTTGTGTCTACAGACAGCTGACTGTCATTAAAAATGAGAAACAGCGGAGAAGGTTACAGATCTTGTATCTTGGACAAGCTTATCTATCTGAGCCTTGAAACATGATGCAAAAAAGGCTTAAAAGACCAAACAGGATATTCAAAGAGGAGCGATGTGACAGCCAGACTGCTGAGCTCGGTCATTTGTTCACATCGCACACCATCCATCTTTGTAGGTGTCCCAATGAACAGCACAATGTTTCCTCTGTCATCAAGTTTCATGTCACATTTTCCATCATGTTTTCTCAGAGAACAAAGTTTCCACCTTCCTATCCTTTTTTTTTTTTTTTTTTGGTGGGTTGCCTGAAAGCTATTGTTTTAACACGGCAACAAAAAAGATGGTGGTGTGTGAGAGTGTTGCGAGGGAGTGTGCACAGACAGGAAAAAGATTCTTGGATATTCAGGCTCTTAAGCTTTCTGTGGGCATGAACATATTTAACCTTCTCATCATCAACCAGGCGTTCTGTAGGAGACATAATGATGGTCAAAAAGAAATGGCCTGTTTATATCATTTTCCATAAGAGATCCCTGTTTGAAAGCTGCAAGCTACAATTGTGGGTCCAAGTTCGGCTATTATGCATCATGCTTTCATTTTCTGCTGCCTCTCTTTTAAGATAATATGTTCATTAATCGTAGGACGTTGATTACACATGCTGCCCATTTTTCCTCTCCGTGATACCTTGACTCTTTAACATGATATATTGCACAACAAAATACTGAAACCAGCCCTCAGCCAAAATTATCTCCCCGCCCAACACACACACGTGAAATAGAAGGTGGCTCGCAATTGAATGCTGTGCAAATGGTGTCACAAACGATTTGTCCTTGGCCCCGCACTTCTAGCTAACCAGTCCTGAGGCTGGCAGATACCAACAAGCCCTGAGAATTTAGAAGTGAACATTAATAGCTTCTGACAATTTGCCTGCACTGGTTGTAAATCTTTGTCACAAATACTTACGCTCAGCATCACATCTCTTATGGCTGGGTTCTATCAGTTTAACACTTGTAGTTCCAGCGCCATATTTTGTTGGAATCTGTTCAACATGAGCTAATTAACTACTGACAAAAAGAGCATAGGGCATTAATTTATGTTAACAAAAAAAAAAGAGTACACTTCACACTGTGGTGTAATTCACCTGTGACTCAGGATAATTAGTACCTTGTTACAAAGGTAAAAGAAAGCCCCCTTTTCCTGCCAGTCCGTACTGAGGGAAGCATTCACATTGTGCTTAGTATATTAAATAATTGAACTAGTCCTATCTTCCTCTAAATGGCAATAATCCAGCTATTGTTGCCTCTGTTTTGCAGCCACAGAGTACAAAACAATTAGAATAATAATGTAAATCATCTGGAAAATCCACTTCATAATTAGAAGAAGAATCACCTCCTCCATTAATGTTCACTGGTGCTGCTAATGAAATGATGTCAAGGGAGGGGAAAATGCAATCACGTAAACATGAAAAATCATTGTTCTTTTCGTTGAGTTGCACACAAAGAAAAGCAGGGCAATGATACACACGGGTTGCCTGATGAAAATTGGATAACAAAAAAAAAATCAAGGTGATAAGAGAGCGTGACGCCATGTCTCCTTTGAAAAAGCAATCATAGGTCAAAGAAGGAAATTATGGACGGGTATCTCTGCTACCAACTGAAGACTACATTCCTTTAATACGCTCTGATGAAGGTTTAAATTATCTGACATGGCACAAAAGTTCCTTTTCACCGTTTTTTGACTAAAGGAAAATGGGATTCAGTCAGTCAAGAGAACACGTTTAACATTCACGATCAATGACTACACATTTTAAATGAGGGACAAGGTGATCTTTTGTATTGAAAGTTAAATGTTTTACAGCACTGTGAAATGAGATTGGCTTAGAGGAGTATTTGCATGCATGAAAAGCAGTGGATGAGATCAGATGAGAACATATCAGTCATGCATGGTACAAACGATGTCCACTTACTGTCTTTGCAGCCATGGACATGAAGTGAGTGTGTGCTGCAAGTATTTCACAATCACACACACAACCGAGCATCAGGTCTTCCAGAGCACATGTAACTAAGTCCCACCATACTGACTTTGTAAAGGAGTCACAATACAGGTCTTTATGCCTTTGGAAATGTGTACAACAAGAGTTTTCACTCCTAAAAACGGACCTCGTGTTTGTGTAAATTAGATTGCTCTTAAATACTGTTTTGAGTCTTTACAGTTATTAATATTAATACATGAATTAATTAATTAATAATTCATACATTTCTTTTGTAATGTGTAACAGAAAGTCAGAACAAACAATGGCTGCAATATTTCACAAAGGGTGAAGTCTGAAAAAAACTAAGACAGTAATGGGTAAAAAAAAAGAAATCCAAATTATTGATCTGATTTCTTAATTTTTTTAAGCAAATCTTGTCATAAATCAGTTTTAACAATCATGTTTCTAACTTCACAGAACAATCCTACATTTTGAAAAACACCCTGCATTGTATTTCCCACACAGACTCTGTGAGATGCTGACTTATTGCACGTGCTTTGGGAGAACCACAGAAGAGCAGAAGACGGTAAAAAGCTTTAATCTCTGTACCAAATAAATGCATGATGAAGGTGTATAATGGTACTGAAGATCTTTTAAAAAGCATGGTGTCTGATGTATTAATATTCGTGGAGACAATTGTGCAGTATTACCACAGGACTGTTACACTTCCTTATTTTATTTTGGTAGTACTTCCAAAGCAGTCAGAACAGCTGAAAGGATAGGGAGTATTTTAACATTACAGTCTATGTATAATCATACTCTATTTTTCTTCTAACATTCAGAAACACATACTGTGGGCTTACTTTTTCCTTTTATTACTCTAAGAGAACAAAAACAAGCCTGAAATTTCCAACGAGGCAGGCAGGCAGTGTGCAGACCTCCAGAGGCTTGGCGCAAAATATAATGAAACCAAATGCAACACTGGTCCATCCTTTCAGCCGAGCTTTTATCAGTGATGTATACCACAGACATAGCTTTCCATTCTATTTAAAATTGCTTCTCCTCACAATGTTGTTGTGAAAAAAACAAACTGACTGTAGGATAAGGAATACTGCATTATTCTCTCCTGTGGCTGAAATGAGTGTGAAAAAAAAAAAAAAGGAAACAACCATTATGACAAAAACAAAGGATGCTTTTTTTTTTCATTCTCACGTTTTGTTCTTTCTTTTCTGATATTTTGTCACCATGTCTTGCAAACTGCCAGAAGTGTAGACGCCAAAAAGAAAACAAGGGAAAAAAAGGAGAAACAGAGAAGGTGAGATACACAAAAAAAAAATTGCGTTTACACATGCAGAACACATAAAAGAACCACCCATTGTAAAGCAGTCATTCTGTAAATCCACTCATGTTCTCTCTGGCCCCCATTTCAGACTGACATGATGTGTGTAATGTCATCCTTTTAAGAAGTCTGCTTTATTGAAGGCTGTGTTTACCTCAGTGGGCTCGGATTCAGAGCCAACATAACCTTTAACCTCTTTGCAAAGAAGGATAGGTAACCAAACAGAGGAAAGCAGCAGTGAGACTAAAGCTCAGAGGAGCTGAGCTGAATTATTGAGAGAGCCCAAAAGCTGTAAAAAAAAAAAGACTCAGAATATAAAAACGTTAGACATTAGCAATTAACAGGTGATCGAAGAAAAGAAAAGCTAATACTGATAATAGTTATGAATAAAATGTATCTATATACCACATTTCAAGAGTGATAAAGAGCTATAATTAAACACACTAAAAAAACACAAAGGGAATCACATAAAAGGCATTTCTTTTAAAAGTAGTATTTTAAAAGTGATGGCACAGATAATTTAAAGATAACATGCACTGGTACTCAGATGTGGGCTTCCTGATTTTTAAGGCACATATTGTAACGGAAAGGCAACTGTGGCGTCTTTCTGTCTATATTTAAAAGCGGTTCTGTACCTGTTGATTAAGTCGTCATTGTCATCACTCGCCATCTCGTCCTCTATGGCAGCCTGCAGGTCACCAATCCTCTTGAAGGCCAGTTTGAGGTCCACTTGTAAACTCTGGTTTGCCGCCTCCAAGCTCTCAATGTCCATTTCCTGGTGAACAGATCGCAGCAGAGTAGAAGCATGGTCACCTCTTCTTGGGTGAGCTCCAGTGAATCATATCACTTGTCCCAGCAGCTAAAAGACTTACCAGTTCGTGCTTCTTCCGGCTTGCCTCGGCCTCCTTCTTGGACAGCTCCGCCGTCTCTTCTTTCATGTCTCTTATCTGCCGCTGCATTCTCTTGTTCTGCTCCTTCTCCCTGTTTTCAGCTGCGATGCGTTGGTTTCTCTCCTCTGTCATCTTTTCCAGGTTCTCCCTCAGACGGCCCACCAAGCTCTGCCGAGAAAATTAAGAAAAGTCACTTTTGTTTCTTTTTTTTTGTTAATTTTAGTAGATTGAAGGCAAAGTGACACAATTAGATTTCTAAGTGAAAGGACAAGAAGTCCCTTTTTATTTTTTTTTATTTTTTTTAGAAAAATCATAGTTTAGCTCTCAGCAATAGATCAGAATAGGTATCTATTGTATGTGGGCTTTGGGTTATTAACAGTTATTTAATATTAAGTAGGTGATGTTATATTGTTGGTGCAAAAGACATGATACTGGACAGTAACAGATTTTATCATCCTGTTGATTATTTTTGTGCAAGCTATAATCTTCCTTTTCTTATCCTTTGTATCATGGGGTGCAGATAGCCTAGCGGTTTCGTCGTATGCCCCATGCACAGAGGCTAAAGTCCTCGTCGCAGCAATTGTGGGTTTGAATCTGACCTCGTCCCTTTGCTGCACGTCATTCCCCATTTTCTCCCCCCAACATTACCTGTCTCTCTTCGGTTGACCTATCTAATGAAGGCAGAAAGGCCCAATAATTACTTTAAAATTATATATAATTATATGCATCATATTTTACCCCTAAGTTTATTCTGATCAGTTCAGCAGAAATTGTGAACATACTAACCAGTTGCTTAATATAAAGATAAAATACCTTCCTCTTCTGAAAACAGCATACAAGAACAATTTAACATTTTTAATATGGCAATTTGCCCAGCTATAGATCTGGATATATTTGTTCCATGGTAGATGTTATTAGTAGCAAACCGTCAAAAACATAAAACATGTGCTCAAAATGATATCTTCTTTTCCTCTTGGTTAAAACAAAAATAAATGTAACCTTTGTAACCTTTGACTCTGCTAGCATGTCATTTACATTCAGGAGTCATAGAGAATTATCCCACCTCCAATCGTTTGATCTGTGTCCTCTCGTACTCCAGCTTAGTCTCCAGCTCACGGATCTTGGCCTCTTGACGGCACACAAGAGACTTTTCCACCATGGACTGTTCTTGGAATTCGAGCTGGCTCTGGAGGGAATGAACCTGCAGGGGTACACACACATACAAACACATCAACACTAACAATCACTCATGAGGACAAGCTTACACTTAAAGGGATACTTCACCCATTGAAACATGAATCTGTATTGACATGGGGTCATATATGTAGTAGAAATGTGAAATAAATTTTGAAGTTGGTGCCTTCTTGGCCGAGAAAAGGCAGGAAGTCAGGTTTACTAAGGTCAGGTTTACAGACAGACAGGCAGGCCTTATGTCTCGGCTGCTGCGGCCAGCAGCAGTCCTGGCGACATTATCAGATTTCTCCATAGAGCCTGTTAGCATAGCTTCCAAGCAATATGGCGGACGTTAAGTTTCGATTCTGGGAGTGAGTTCCCACCCACTGATCTGTGATTTGTCTGTAGCTTCAGTGGTCGAAAATATGAGGAACTAGCGTTGTAGTTTCACCCTGCTAACCGCAACAGCTTCCAGTGATGCAAAAATCGTCATTTTGCGTCACTGGAAGCTCCTTTTCAGACTTAAAAATACAAAGATTTCCCATCTCAGGGGAAAATGAGGGAGGGATGCACGACCATTCAAAAATACTACCAGGTTTCTAATGATACAAAGCTTAATGCAAATGGGTGAAGTATCCCTTTAAACCCGTTAATTTGACCTCAGCCTTTCCTATCCCTTGTGTTTACAATCAAATAGGAGCAACTGATGTTATTTTTTGGAATTCTAATACACTTCTGACAACTTTTTCCATCTTTTTGTGTAAATTATCCATTTTGCTTTGTGTAAAAATGGTGCATCTAGTCTGAATTATAGGCTCTGCCTCTATGAACGGTCAGAAGGAGAGTTTGGGGTTGGGAAACACAGAGTCACAGTCATTTCACAGGCAGAGAGACCTGAGCCACATGCAAAGCACGTTTGTTCCATCCGAATCGTTTTCTCATGACTGATAAAAGGAAGAAAGATATGTCACAACAAAAACTGGCCCAAAGGGTGGCATGGCACCTAATGAGGGACTTTGCTTCTGAGACAAGGAGGATTTGGAGTTCTCCTTTGATATTACTAAAGAAGCCAGATTTCCCTCCTACTGAGGATGAGATAACCACTTCAAGGTCAGATGCTTTAGACAGCTATCACCGCCTCCTCTGGCAGGTTTTAACAATGCCTCACAGCCTGCAAAGTGTCTCTAGCGAAGCCAAAAATATTCTGATGGGTGGGCCTTGAATATAACTGAGAGGAGCAGAGATTTGGCACGCATATATAGCTTAATCTAATAGAGACAGGGTCTGCTGTTAGAGGGTGGCAAGAGCTCAATTCTGTCCTTTAGTGTAATTATATTTGAAAGACATTCTGTTCAAGGCAGATGGTTTGATTTGTTTAGTCAACTGCATATCAATGCTTACAGGAAGGCCTGTGTGTAAAGTGCAAACACACACACACACACACACACACACACTCTAAAGATTGTCATATACCGATGAATTCCAGCTTTAACAGCCTGGAGGGAAATCATTTTACCAAAACAAATCAACAGAGTAAAAAAGGATGCATTAATGCATGACAAGCATGAAGTGTTGGAGGTTATGAAAAGCACTATTATTTTAAAAAGCACTTATTATCAACACAAGCCTAAATCAGGTGCATTAACCTTTTACCCCACAAATCCATGTTTGTTCCAACCTACAATCATTCCACTGAAAACTGAAGCACAGCAAACTGTGAGTAAACCTGTGAGGGTAGAAATAAGCTAAATAAGACAAGAATGCTATAACTGCAGGTTAATGTAAGTAATATCATTCAAGCACTAGGGTGTAAGGAAGTTAAAAGAAGCCATTGAGTTAGCACAGCTTTGCTAGTTTGATCATTTCTATTCCAAGTTTATGGTAGAGCTTAAAAATAATTAATCTCAAAACCTTTTCTTTCGTAGTTCCCTGTGTTTGTACTTTTAAAAACAGCTACTTCAGAAACAAAGGTGTCATGCATAGGTTTTTCCTTGTAATCGTGTCACTGTGAATTTTTGCTGTAGAAAACATAAACCAAGGCTATTACTGCCTGTTTGACACCCACCCAGCCGCAGTGTTTACAAGCAATGAAAATTACTAATTAAAAACAAATCAGTCATGTTACTAATGGTCTGCTTTAATATTGTAGGTCATATAAAGGCATCAGTATTAATTTCAGTCTGTTTGATTACCATCCATGAACTCTTCATTGTAGCTTTAATGTCAGTTATAATTACAGTACGTACATCAGACTCTCTTGTGACCATGGTTTAAGGTCAGAGTTGATATTAATAGGGGCCTCGTTTCTGACCACGATGACTGAAAATAACAAATTAAATGTTTATTAATAGTGTTCAAAACGTTAATTTTAACATGTATTTTGTATATATATTTTCACATGGCTACCTGTTCCCCGTGATAGTGCTGTGGTTGTGTGTCTTGGTGAGCAGAAACACTAGAAACTACAAAAGTGGCATTAAGCAGGTGCTTCAGATTAAAATAAGTCTCTGCTATTTTATTTATGGAGTGACAGTAACACGGCACCTTCACACTTCCTCAGTTTGATTGAAATAATTGTGTCAGTCAAACATTAAATGGCCAGCGTACAGTAATGAGATTTCCTATTTTTCCTGATCATCAAATCACATCTGTAACGCTATCTGATGAGCTAACAAACCACATCATCCAAGAGTGTTTTCATACTGGTTTCCAATTGCCGTCTTTTAATATCTGATATTGCCGATTAATACAAGTTTTGGAACGAGAATGACAGAAACAACATCTATCGTGATAAATCTCTGAGACAGAAGCAGGTTTAAATATAATCACTGAAAGGAACAGAATGAGTGCTTTAAGTTTAATCTCATGGTTTAACCATGGAAACAACCAGTTCAGCTTAGCAACACGACCCTTCCTTTTAAATATTAGTACTGAGAGGCAAAAAAAAAATTCTCCCTTTACTATAAATCTTTGCTGATTCCCACAATTTAAATGCAAATTGCATTGCAATTTTGAAAAAAAATAAAAGTGCCTGAAAAACTGGGCCTTTTTGGTTTGGAATAATCAGAAACTCTGTGAAAAGCTGAAGTCTAATCAGAGAGAGGCGTTTAGGCTGCAGGCGGGTTTTTTGGCAGCCACTTTAGAGTGCCCTGAACACATCCTTTTACCTTTTCTTGGATCTCCTGCTTCTCCTTTGTGGCCTCTTCCAGCTGGGCCTGCAGGTCACTGATCTGGCTCAAGTCCCTGGCAGACTAGTTCACACACAGAAAACACACACACACACACAAAGTAAAAAGGTATATTTGAAGGTTTACTGAGAGACTGGAGGTGTAAATGGTGATGTATGCTTTAATTTCCTGTAAATTCTATCCCTTCTAATGTCTATGGGTTAATGAAAATAATACGTCCTTGCCAAAGAATTTGTCACATGATCTGCTGTCGAACAGATTGCATCTCTCTGATTGCAAAGCACACACTGTGTTTAGAGGGGGATATGTCCTCCAAACCTCAAAGCCACTCTGCTTACACATGCAGAGAGGAATAGAATGTAACATTAATGTTCAATATGGTATACTACAATGTTTTCAACAGTTAAATAAACAGGAATAATTAAAGGCATTACAACAATTTTAGGTTCTGTGTCATGGTCTGTTTTACTTCTTCTATCGTGCCAATTAATTACTGTTTCACTGAGGTGTAAGGCAGGTTGAGTTACCTGGGCAACTGCAGCTTTATGCTTCTTCATCAGCTCATTCATGTCCTCCTGATCCTCCTCCATACGAGACTGCAGGTCGTTCTTCTCTCTCTGCAGGCGGCTGACCTGCTCCTCCAGCTGAGGTACACAGAGAGAAGGACACACAGCACAGAATGACAGGATTTTTATTCATGAGCTATTGAATATGATAAATGGTCATTAGCTGGCGAAGCCGTGGCAGCCCTGGAATCTCATCTAATGGCGATGAAACACAATCTGGACGGGGTTCTGGCTGCGGGATGAGACCAATTGGAGATAATCAATTGGCTCATTTAGGCGAGAAAAAGTGCAGCCAGTGCAGCATACTGGTGGTGTCCTTTTAAGAGTTCATCCTCTGTGGTCAGAGGAGGGAAGGCCCAGGCCCTCAATATGCATTCTCTAATCTGAGACATTTACAAGACTTTCCCTTGCCATAAATGCAGCAATTAACAAGTACAGCACGGGGACACAGTGATGTGTGTGTTGTCCCCAGAGACACACACACCGTCAGTGTGGAGTCTGAAATGCAGGCAGTACTCTAATGACAGCCATTAATGAGCAGACGACAAAGCTTATTTATCCATTAGAGCAAAATGCTAAAATCAGATTTGTGCCAAAGGGCATTTATTAATTTATTATGGCTCGATGATGTGTGCATATTTATGCATTTTAGAGTGCTAATTTGATAGGCAAAAACTCTCCATTAATTAAAGATTGTTTGTAAAAAAGAAGCAAAGTAAATATTTACTCAAACAGTTTCACTATTTATCAAGAAAATCAGCTTCTGCATTGAGATGAAAAAGGGAGGTATATTTCATTATGCATAAATGTACTCCATTAAACACACGATTGATGATGAAACCACACAAAAAAGTATTGTATTAGCGACGTATGGAGAACTAATTAACTTTCAAACCTGCTCACAAGAGTCATTGTAGCCATTTTAGTGAAGTTCCACTCTTCACTTCGTACACTGCACCCTCAGGACACACGACTAACAGATGTCAGAACTCACCGACAGCTTAGCTTTGGCCACGTCCTCCATTTGGATATGCAAGTCCTCTATTTCAACCTCCATGCTCTTTCGAGCCTTTACTGCAGCGGCACAGGTGAACTCTGACTCCTCCAACTGTGAGAAGCAGGAGGATGGAAAAGTAACCAGAGAGGAGGTTAGGGACAAATGTTAGTAAGCCAAAATCAAGAATGTGTCATATTTTTGAGGTGGAATACAGATTTGTTTACTTTGTCATCATTTTTATTCTCAAAATGTGTTTTTTTGGTTTTTTATTCTGTATCACAAGGTGTCATCCATCCATTTGTACCGTACTTGATTTTTGAGCTGGGCGATCTCTCTCTTACTGGGGGCGTTGCTCTTCAGGTGGTCCAGCATGATCTGTGCATCCGCCAGAAGGACTTTGGTTCTCTTCAGGTCCTTCTTCAGCCTCTTCTCTGTCTCCACATCCCTTTGGCCAACCTGGTTGATGAGAAAACACACCTTTCCAGCCAGTATTTTAAATTTCCCCGTCTTCTTTTGAAAAACCAACAGCAGCACCTCTCGAGACTCAAAGACAGTTTCTTTTCAGTCAAAGGAAGTGGCACACTTATCATGACTGCACTGACAGCGACCAGGGGCAGAGTGATGGATGTACCTGGTCCTGGGTGCAGAGCAGTTTGGACTCCAGCTCTCTCCTTTCACGCAACACTTTCTGCTTGTCTTCATACTCCTCCTCCAGCTGCACCTCCATCTGTTTCAGCTGCAGGACATGAGAACAGAGTGTCAGGATGCACAAACAGATGATGGGTGATAAACAAAGGCAGACAAAACACACCGTCGACCATCCTGTTAGACACGCTGCTCACACACACACGTCACAGACACACAGATCCCCCCTGAGCAGATCTGCCAGCCAACAGATACATCAACATGCCTTTGAAACTAAAAAGTAACACTGTATCAAATTCAATTGTTTTACTTTTGAAGGGATAGTTCGTTTTGTTTTTTTTAAAGTTGGGTTATATAAGATACTTCTTCAGTATTTCGTTTATTATCCACAGTAGACGGGGTCGGTCTGACCCTTGTTTTGAGAAGCTGGATAGATAAACTAGTTTTTATGTAACACTGTTGACAGAGTTTGGATCAAAGCATATTTTCCCTGGCCTGAAAAAGTCCCTCAGACATCATTTTAAGTGCACACTATATTTTTGAATACTTTCACCGTTTTACCTTGCCGTCAGACAAACCTTTCTAATGGCACTACCTTTGGTCTGCGTCCGCTGCCTACTGTTAATGATGATTTTACAACCAAACAATGTCTGTATTTGTAAGCATCTAACCAGGAGCACTGTCATCTACTGGAAGTAATAAACCCACAGTTGATATGCAACTTAAAATATCAAAATATCTGATATCTGAGGAATAATTACTTTAGAATAGAAACAACTGCAAACTATTTTTTTAGGTTGAACATTAAAAATATAATAATTTGATGTAATGAATTGTACAGTATACAACCAGACGTTCCCGAGCCTTTAAGTGTAACTGTAAAAGATTCAAGCTCTCTTTCCTTCCAACATCAGTCACACTGCTGAACAACAGCTAACCCCTGTTGAACCAGTCCATGCACAACTTTTTTAATGTCTTTCAGAGTCATTTCAGCCTTTAGACTTTTAATTCATATTTACTATGTTTTTATTGTTATGTCTCTAAGCATGATTTGATGTAACTGGTAAATGAACTAGTATAGTGCTTATCTCGTCTTCTGACAACTCAAGCCTTCCCATTCACACACTTATGGCAGAGGTTGCTATGTAAAGTTTCAGTCAGTACATCAGACATGTAGCTACCAGAGCTGGGGATCGAACCCCCAACCTCATGGTGGATAGACGACCAACTTAACTAACTGAGCTGCCGATGTGTTCGAACAGTTGTTGTCTTGGGTTATCTTTGTTTATTGTAAGTTGCACAGGCAGTGTGTGCTTTCTCTGCCCTTTTTCTGATGACTACAGCATTCTTTTAAATGACATGGACATACTCTAAATCAAACAAGAATTTCAAATAATCAATTCAAGATATTTAAGTTCAGCTTTAAAAGAATATGTACAGGTAATCAACTTTGTCACACATTTAAGAATACATGTGTGTTGTCTTAGTGCCTTGTATTCATGGTAGTACCTATTGGATACATAGGTAATAGTAAGAATGAGCAGCACCAACCTTTTTACTGCAGGACCGCCTAATCTCTTCCACTTCTTCATCTTGCTCTCAATCTCTTTAGAGTGGTTCTGCCGCTGCCTCTCCATCTCCATCTCGAGTCGCAGTTTAGCCTGAGTACATGTAGAGGACATAATATAAAATATAAAAACCATGAATGTATACACAAGCACAGAATTTGAATAGCCAGAAAAAAATGAGCAAGATCATGTTTGTTTTCTTCCTAATTGACATCTGAATATCTGCCAATATCTGAAAATGAGACACAAACCACTGTTGAATCATTTCTTGTATTATTAGATGTATTATTTGTTTTTAGAACGTAGGAAAATAAATGTCCTAGTTTTGAAACACTTAAAAGCGTCACTCAAGCAGCTTTTCACTTCTATTTTTCGAAATTAATATGAAATGTAGCATCAGCACCACATGTTCTTTACCTGTTCCAGCATCTGGATGGTTCCAGCCTGTTCATCAAGCTCCTCCTCCTGGTCTTTCACCTTGGCCTCCAGGTCGCGGAGCTGCTTCTTGATCTTGGCCAGTGAGGCTTCATCCTTAGACTCCTGGGACGACAGATCCTGTAGCTCTGCCTCCAGCTGTTGCACCTTCATATTCACGGCGCACAATTCACTGTCCTTGTCCTGTGGGCAAAAAAAAAACAAAGTAGAGCTCACATCTGGACCAGCTCTGTTGTGTCAAGACAGAGCAAAGAGAGCAGACAAGTAGTCCCTGAGAAAGGACATCAGAGCGCATGTTAAATTATAAGTAGTGTAAAGTAGCTTACTTGAAGCTGCTGGCGGAGGTTAAAGATCTCCCCGGTCATCATGTCTTTCTCTCGAGCCAGCTTCTCCCTCTGGCTCCTTTCTCTTTGTACCTCAGCCTGAGCCTGGTTCTGCTCCAGGTCAAATCTGGAACACACACACACACACACACACACACACACACACACACAGACACACACAGTTCAGGACAATCACAAAGTTGGTTACATAAGGCTAAAGTTGCATTGGGATAAAGAGTAAGCAAACTACTGCTACCTTGCATCAACATGAAGGCTGTATGAGATATCATTGACTAAAAAAGTACATGATTCAACCAGCTTTATTAATTGTATATAAAATCTAAACCTTAATTCTGTTAATTTGCATATTTTTGGTTTATAAAGTCATCCACAACACGGAGCCCGACATCACTTCAGCACTTTTTCCTTTTTAACATCTGTTTTTATCCCTTTCCATTAGCCACCAATTTACTATTCTGTAGTAATAATGTGCAAAATCTTTTCTTCAATTGTCTCAGGCAGAAACACTTGTGGTTAGTGAACTTAACAGCTAAGTGTTTCATGCTGTCAGCTCGCTGTAATTCCCTGTTTTTCTCTCTGAAGCGCAGCTGAAAATAATTTCACCCACAGAGCATCTTCAATTAGCCACAGGGGAGAGATCACATTCTGCCACGGCGATAGCTTCTTGAGTGCTTAAAGTCGGAGTCATTTGCTCAGCTAATGCAATTCCGCAGATTACAGAACATCTCGGTCACTGTTCAAATGAAAGACAACATGGGTGCTCTTCTAGATGGGTCTGAGTGTGTGTAAGCCACGCCTTCTGAGGAGAAATGGGCAGTATGTTCTCTGTCATGTTTCTTTATGGGAGAGGTGTAGACTGAACGATAGAAAGAATCACAGACAAGACAAAGGAACTGACTTCCTCTGCTTCTTCTCCAGATCGTGGTTGCGGCTCTGCAGGCCCTCTAGGTGCAGCTTGGTGTCCTGCAGCTCTGCCGTCAGCTTCTGGCACTTCTTCTTCAGCTGCTGCACAGAGCGCTGCACATCCTCATTATCTGTTTGCAAATCAGCCATCTGCAGCATGCACACACACACACATACACAGACACAAATTTGCATTATATTTTCAATGCAGCTTATTGCATCACACTGTTACAAAGTGGCCACAGGCGTGTGATTATCACATGTTGAAATCAAACGTTGTAAAAAACAGAAGATTCTTGCCCTTCTCTCCAGATGTCTTTTGCTCTGCTGCTCTGTCTCCAGCTTGTCATCAAATTCCTGCTGGAGTTTCTTTTTTGTAAAGTCCATTTCACGAATGGCTCGGTTGTATTTTATCCGCCACTCGCCTCCTGGAGAAAAGACAAACAACTCAGAAAATGTCCGAGTGACATTTGCAAGTCTCCCGCCTCTAAGAACAGCATAGCAGGGGTGTACAGCCAGAAAGGCTCAAAAGCTCAGACATGACGGATGCTGTGGATTAAGGAGTGCACTGCACTGGCTTCGATGGTTATCACATTTAAGAACCGAAATAATACAATCTTTCAGGAAATAGAACTTCTTTCATCAAATCCCGACCGCATGAGGTCAAAAAACATGACAGGAAACGACAAAGAAGCCTCCGTGTCTCAGCTCTAATCTTGGATAAACCTGTAGTAAGAATTCCGAGCACACCACAATAGTAGTTAGAAAAGGACATGTCTAAGTGGCACTTTCCACAGTTCTTAGCCGACCCTAATTCTGGAGCTGTCAAGGGCTATCAGAAGTATAACAGCAGCCAGGCAGACATTCAGGTTCAGGTTCATTTCCAAGCCTTATCATTTTAGAGGCTGTCCACTTCTCCTTCACATACCAACACCGGCTCCTCGATCAGTGCTGCTCATTAGCATATATATAGCATAATGACAACTTGCAGGGCCACCGGCTCTGATCCCAACGATTATTTTCTCATTCATCTCAGAATTCTGATATGCTCTGTAATGGTTTGCCTGCTGAGCTGAGTTGAAGGGGAGTAGGGACACAGGTTTTTTTTAACTCTCACGAACAATATGCCCTCATCAGGAGGTCTCTTTCTCAGCAGGTGGGGACCAATTGGCAACAGGCATTAGTTGTATGCCTGGGAGCGAACATCATAATCCCCTAGCGGTACATCTTAACTTGGAAAAAAATACTTAATAGCATTATGCAAGATGTGACAAAGTCTCACTGCCATGTCTCCTACTGGAGCGGTTGAACAAAGCAACAAATTCCCATAGCTACAATTAGTGTAGGGAGATTTTTTTCAGACTGTGCACATAATGCTGGTATGAATGTACCGTTCAGGAAATTATGGCCAGTAGGCAGGCCTGGACAAGAAGCTTCCCAATCAAGAACAATTCATTAGGGAATTGAAAACAAATGTTTAAAAAATATGGATGGCCAAGAGTCAAATCCTCAAAGTTTGTTTCCTTCATATTGAGGGTATAGAAATGAAAATTTAGTTGGGTTTAGAGCTCAACTAACCAGAGTCCTCATCATCATCATCCATCTCCCCATTGATTTCAGATGTTTTCATGAGCCGAGCCTCAATCACTTCCATCTCCTGGGATTCTAGTTGCTTCTTCATGGCATCAAACTTAGCCTGAAACGCACATATAAGCACGTCAATCAAAAAACGAGCTTGTCAGAATCAGAACTGTCTTAATATTATGTAGTAGCAAACTCTATTTATATCAATAGGGGTATGTGCCTGAAGGTCCTTCATGTCCTTCTCCAGGCGGAGTCTCTCTGAAGTCTCTGTCTCCAACAGCTGAGACGCGGACTCACTCGTGCTTCTCTCATCAGCAAGTTCTGCCGACAAGTCTGCAATCTGGACATAAAGAGAAAAGTGTGAGAATATTTAACTAAAACAGAAGAGTGTAACGTGCACTGTCACAGGCGAAGAGACCCACCCTGCTCTCCAATCGATCAGTGTTCAGTCTCAGCTCATTTCGCTCTTTCTCCACCCTCTCCAGCTTCAATTTCTGCTGCTGGATCTCCTCCTGGAGCACAGAAAATAGCTTCACAGTATACATTTTATATTACAGGTAAAAATGCGTTCCATTAAGTAGTACATGAACCAAACACACAACAGTAAACAAGTGCGATGCCTCAGTCCATCAGAGTGGAATCTTTAAGTAGGGGTGTATCAGACAGAAAAAGCAGCTCACGTCTTTGCCTCGCATCTGCTCCTCGGTCAGCTGGACCTTTATGAGGGGCTGGACAGTTGTGAAGAGCTTCCACCATGGCCAACCCTTCACGCCGCGGTTCTTGTTGATGTTTTTCTGGATGCATCGGATGGCTAGATCCTGAATCTAATGATTCAAAGACACAAAGAACAGGTCACCAAAAGAAGAAGAAGAAGCAGTATTGGAACTCCAGTGTTTGTTGTCATTTGCACTCCCAGAAGCATAGATTCAAACTAAGGTAGTATAATACCAGCATAGTTCTTATGGTTCCTATGTCGTGAATTGTTTTCTTAATACAATATTGCTCCAACAATAAGACAATATATGATATTTATTGTAATTTAGCCGTAGTTCCTGTACATAGTGTTAAATACAAGTGGCAACCTCTTGTGTTGAAAATGGAGCATACTTTAGGTAGAAGTGGAAATAAATGCAGTTCCTTGGGTGTCCACTTGAGGCTGACTGTCAAAGTCAATGAATGCTCATTAAGTCCTATATAGCTCATTTTTAAATTCATGTCAATATTAAGTATATTAGCCATAGAAGATGCTGATCAGCATGGCCCCTTTATTGAGACACAGGCCGGAGTGCCAACATGAAAGCTAGGCTATAATTCGCTGCAGACAGGTATACCAGGTAATTTAGCTGTAAGAAAAAACCCAGTCAAATTACCACTATGGGGTAAATGTAGACTATATGGAGAAAATTCTCAGCCCTTTTCTTTTCCACAATATATTTACTTGATCAAAAAACACAATGTGTCCACTGTTGAAGAGGAAAACTGAGCTAGAATGACAAACGTTAGCCATTACTGTACTGTGTCAGCGGGATAATCTTTAAACATTTGTTGCTTAAAATGATCTCAAACTTGGATTCAGTACGATCAAAATTCAGAATATAACTATCAACGCTATACACCCTAACAGCTGATCAGTGCACTGCAGGCGGAGGAATACGAATGTTGTGCTAAGGCTAAGGGTTATGCGTCATTTTGCATAATTTAGAAAGAGGTTGTGCATTGTAGCTGTTTGTCAGGCTTAAGGCCTCTTAATTTCCAACTCTTTCCTGTTTCTAGATGGATCAAAAGTTAGCTATAGATAGCATCAACACCAATGGATGACATCCGTGAGACTTCGCTCATGTTTGATACAGCCTTTGGTCAAAGCAGCATTTCAAAGTAGATTTTGAGTGTAAATACAAAGCATATTGCAAAGTTATGACGCTTATGTCCAGAGCACCATAAGAATATGCCAAAAATTAAGCACAATTGTAATTACTCAGTGGAATACATGCTTTATAAAACTAATTTACTGCTACCATATCATCCTGGGCCCTGATGAACAATATTTGAAAAACATTTCCCTCTTCATTCTTGTGTTATATTGTCTGTGTTTGGGCTAGCAGCGATCCCAGGACTTGCCAGCCTCCTCCAGAGAGTTTCTGCAGAGTGTGTTCCAAGGCTGGAAGCTAATTTTTGATTAATTAAATCAAACATGTTGGCAGCTAATTCCAAGTATTACACATTTTCCATGCTGCTTATGCATGAGGCTCTCTAGCAGCAGCAGCAGCAGCAGATTATGGGCAAACCCAATTAGAGCAACACAATTCTCAGCATCAGGTACATATCGCCCTGAAGGTACTCTCTATGACCAATTAGGATTTGTCACACAGTGAAAGCCTTAACACAGAGAAAAATGCAGCAAATCTCTGACAGGAGATTTAAGCGGGTCTCACTTGTCATATTTAGTCAAAAATGAATAGAAAACAAACAAAAGATTATACCACATGAGCGCCGTGGAAAAGCCGTTTGGTATTCATATCACATTAAAAGGGTGTGACAGCTGTGAGGCAGTTGTGATGTGAATTAGGATAGTGAGCCAACATTGAGGCAAAAATGTGTTTTTGAATTCTCCTCAATATTCTACATTTACAGTATCTAGATGTGCTGTCAGTGTATGTGCAAATAAGTACTGTAATATAAAGCCGCGTTCACATATACACTCCTGAGATTTTAAGAGAATTTCAGGAGCACTGAGATGAGAATATTTGCCTTGTATCAATGCTACGAGTAGTTCAACAGAATCACAATACCAACAAAAGAATGCAGAATGTTAGGCTTTCATGTATTTCAACATAGCACGATGAGTCACCTCTTGAAAAAGATAATAGATACCATTCAGAAGCCCCTGTCTGTTTAAGAAACATCCAACCTTTCTGTGGGAAATTTTGCAAAGAAGAGATTTGTCAGAATGATTGGGTAAGAGTTTTGCTTATACTGTATATGCTCCTTTACACGGATTCAAATGCAAAAAGACAAAATAAAATAACGTGTTTCTGATTCCTAAAGGACAGAACTCTCAATGCCCTGAGCGCCTGCTGAGACAATATAACATACTTTGAAAATGTCATGTTGTCCCCTGGAGGAAACAGCTGAAGGAGGGAAAAAAATGTGGTTTTGTCATTTAATGTCACATGGGCTTGGCCCAGTTTACAAGGTTAACATGCCAGGGAATGTTAATCAAGGGAGCTTGTGACTTTCTATAACGTCCATATGCATCAACCAGGAAGTGCCTAAAGCTTCACTCACAAGAACTCATCAGGAATGCTTACTGAGGCAAATTATCATCTGGTGTACAGTACTTGGTATGAAAGGATACTCCAATCAGAGCAAGAGGCAATAAAGCCCAATCACTTTTCACAAAAACAGGGTAACAGCGAGGGTGCAATTGGCTGTTATTATATGATGATTATTCTCAAATTGAACAGCAGCGCACTCTGTAAATCTTCCACATGGAGAGACGGGTAGATGAAAATCACTTAATAATCCACCACAGCCCTGCGTTTTGTTCCATTACTCCGGGGTCGACTAACTGAATCAGGAGTTACATCAAAAAGAATGAGATTCAAGAGGAGAAAGATGCCCTGAAAGATATTAATTGCATAAAGAGAAAGTATTGTATAGCATATACTGGACGTATAAACGAGTAGAAGAGCAAAAAAAAAGTCCAGCATACTTCGGGTACTAGAGCATGGCTTTTTTAGCATCACCTCAAACTTTTGATTTCTCTAAGTCTCAATCTCACACTTGACTGCAGATAGCAGCCCCACAATTCACAAAGTCAGATTGATATTTTTCTAGAGTTATACGAATACCAAACTTCTCAGGCTTTATATGATCAGTGAAGTATTTCCATTATCGGAAAGACTCAGGTTCAACAATGTGTTATTGGAGAATATCAAAGCAGTGAAACAAATGCACCAAGATGCACAGCCCCACACGGCATTAGAATGGGCCGGGTACTGTGCTTTAAAGAATTAGAGACAGAATGTTCAGTTTTACTTGTTGTTCAAATAAGTTTATCTGGTTAGCTAGGTTTGCAGCCTGGAAAAAATAGAAAAATGCTAACCTTGTTCTGTGGGCAACAATATGTACTGACAAACAGTTATATGGAGCCTTTATGCACGAGGATGCAAGTTGTTTTGCCCCCACTGTGTTTTCGTTGCTTGTTCCATTCAGAGGGGAAGCTTTGTTCTAAACATTGACATTACATTTATAAAACAGGTCCTTCAGCTTAGGGTGCAGGGTGCAGCTCCGCGCAGAGCAAAGGTGCAAAACAAGAGCAAACAGTGCAGAACAGATTGCAGTTGCTATATCTGTGCAATTCATGGACATCATCTGTTCTTAGTAGATCTGGTCCTATGTCATGTTCAAGTTTGAAAAGGGGTGCTATGGCTATTCCTCGGCACCAACAGCAGATTTCGTTACAAGTGGACAGGAGCTACTAATCCCATTCTTTGTTCTCTGTTTGAGCTAAACTAAGCTAACCTGCTGCTTTTTGGCAGCTTTGTGTTACCACACAGACACTGAAATCAATCTTCATCTTGCTGTAAAAGTATAGAAAACCAGTCCCTGACATCTGATTACATAGAAAACTTGGTAAAACGGTTAATAAGCCGCTAAACTAGATTATTTGTGTGGTTTTTTTATGTTAATTTTATCGTTGTGTTGTTTTTTTTTTTATCTCTGCTCTGTAAGGTGACCTTGAGAGTTTTGAAAGGCGCCTTTAAATAAAATGTATTATTATCCTATAACCCTGACCTGCTTTAGCTGTCATCACATTTACTGTTTAATAACATGTTACAGCCAAGCCTGCCAAACTAAATTCAGATAAAGAGCAATAATGTTACAGGATAACATGTGCATTAAGTCTTATCTTTCTATTATGGATACATTTACAGGAGACAGGGGGCATATGGGAGCAGTGAAACAGAAATACCTTTATGCTAATGGTTTTTTATAATTGCATGGTTGCCTGGCAATTGTGAATGGTTACTCACTGTTGATTTCCTTTAATTTCTTGCACATTATGAAACATCAGCCTGCTCTACTCTGTTAATAATGCCCTTTTGAACTTAACACTGGCCCTGCTGCTTCCTCATTTGAACCCAAATCCATTACTTAAACTCTTACTGCAGAAAAACTGAAATAACTGAGAGGAGCTGGAAGTCCATCCAGGTATCCAAAAAGGTCATGTTAATATTGTAAAAATGGCCATTTAATTATCTCACAGGCATCTTGCGCAAATACAAAAGTTATCGCCTCACGAACAGCTTGTCATTTGTGAAGGAGAGCAGCCATGTTGATTCTGTTTCTGCTGTTTCATCACTAGTCAGCTGAAGTGGCACATTCACTCTGATAGTAATCACTTAGATAGAGAGTGGGAGCAACCACGGGGCTCTATACATCACAAGAGGACATGTATGAGGTCAAGAGGGATGGACCTATCACATGCTGGGAGAAAAATGGAAGATAGTTGGTATATAGCTGATGGGCGTGTAAGTCAGCAGCATGTCTGATGAAGGCTGCGTTAAAGGTGGAACAGTTTGACAAAACAGACGTGCCGCTATTAAATATCAACCCTGTGGGAGCTGATTGGATGGATAAGAGTTAAAAAGGAGAGAGGGTGAGGGTGATAGATTAGGAGAACACATTGATAATTAGATAAAAGATTTCCTGTAGAGCTGGTAAGATCCACTCCACAGTGCAGGGCAAACTAGGGCTCACTTTAGGTCTGAAAGAAAGGAAATCTATCTCCTGGTGGACTCCAAGGCAAGAAGGCCTCTGGGGCTCAATTCCTTTACCCACTTTATTAAAAACACAACTGAGGAAAAAAAAAGGAATCTTGACATTTGTTTACTTTTTGATCGAGTTTCTGTTTTTGTAAATGTATCTTGCAGCAGATCCAAGCGAATCCTTTCTATTTTCTCTTATTCAAACGATGATTTGAATGAAATGCTGGATTGATCATTAAGCACTACCACAGAACAGGGGTTGCTGTTGTACTGAATGTTAGCACAGCTGTGATTGGGTCATTTAATGCAGCAGTTTTACAAGCGGCTGATACTACTGAGAAGTAATAGGCAACCATTTTATAATCATTTTTTTGAGTATTAATGCCACTCACATTCATTAGGCTCTATTTACTGAACTAGTTGTGTGTCATACTGCCAAGAGAAACATTTTCCAAAACAAGTTATTTCGAAATTAACATCATGCTGCAATTCATAGATTAATTCAGATCTTTTGTAAAGAAATGTGTCCAACTGTGTGGTGCAAAGTTAAGTAATCTACAGTATATAATGAATATGTGATGTTTATTATGCAACTTTAAGTATTTACTGAAAACACTGAAAGCTAAACGTCCTGAAGCTGTTATACCGTACATCAGCTCTCACAAAATACATCCTGTGCAACCACTACACTTCGGTCAGAGTTAACAGTGACATAAATAGTCTATATTTTGTATGACTTTAGATACCGCTATCTGTTCTGTGTGGGACTTACATTAACTTGTATGTAAAATGAAGCTGTCTCTCCATGTGTGACATCTGACCTACCTTTCTCTTCTTGAAGGCTTGTCGTGCCAGGTAGCCCCTGCATGTCCCTTGGAACAGGGTCAGATTGCGCTTGGTCTGCTCATCCCTCTGTTCCTCCAGTTTAGCCAAGGTGCCAGCTCTGAAGAACAACTAGAGCAAAACACAAACACACACGTAACACTGAATTACCTTATTGGCAAAGAATCAAACTATCGAAAGCTGCTTATTTTAGCCAGGGGGGGAATTCGATTTACAGGCCCTGATTAGGTGTGAAGAACAAGAGCCAAATAAAAATAGAAGTGGGCTAAAATGTAAGTAAATAAGTTCAGTGAAGCAGGTAATCAATAAGAAGCAGTGTAATCTATGGCCAAGTCAGTCTTATCTACAGGAGAGAGCTGTGATTAAGGTATAATCTCGACCATCAACCTTGTCTGTTTCTAATCTGAACATAGGTAAACAGGTCATGGAAAGCAGATCACGTCACAGCTTGTCGATACTTCAGAGGGATTAGGTAGTGCGAGTGCATGCCAGATATGATGGCAGCAAGCTATTAAAATAGATGGATGATGGACTGTCTCTACCCAAGGCCCCTCTACACAAGTCCCAGTGCTTTGTAAATGAACAAATCCATATGTGGTGTGTTAACAAAGCAGGCTCTGGAAATGATGGAGCTGCTTTCGTGGGTGAGTCTTCAAACCAGTAGGGAGGAGGGGTGCATTCAATGACATCAGATTCATTTGCAAATTGCTTTAAACAACTTTTGCACTCATCCTGTTTTTAAATGTTGCAGTCGTATCCCTTTGCTGAAATACAACACATTACTACAGCTCTGTCTTTTACAAAATGTGTCTCCATTATATTGTTAGATTGTTATGTTATTGAAATAAAAAACGCTAAAATGAACAGTCATATAGACAGTATGTCGTTTTACTGTTTTCCCCTTTTTCTTGTCCTCGAAGAAAACAAATCTTGTGGTTGATTTGTAATGCTACTGCAAAAAACATAGAATCAGCTTAAAGCTAAAAACAAAGCAGAAAATTGCTCCTCATAATAAACCGATGCCTTGTCCAAAAGAGAAGGACATTTTCATTGTTAAAGAATGATATTTTAATAACACATTTTACAATGTTAAAACTTATTAAAACAAAGCCAGACAATTTGAGCGAATGCACATACCCTTAAAATATAAAGGTCAGCTTGACTGTTAAAGAGGTATCTGTTTTTCATACATGAACATGCAACATGTCTCAGGAGGAATTCAAACGTTTTTATTTCTAAAATAAATAATAGATGTCTTGTCCGATGGTTCAGTGGTTGTCTAATTAATCAATTCTCACATCCATTACTATTTAAACCTTGTGCACTGATTATTATAACCCTTTTTATAGCGTTGGCTTCACCAGTCCTCCTGCTGTGTGTTGAGGACTATATGTATATGTGGTGCCTGCTCTACCTACTTATCTAAACCGATGCCCCTGATAATTCATCCATTTTTACCTCCATTTTTGAATAATTATCAGTTAATGTATGAACGATGCAAACTACTGCCATGACCATTCAACTCAAGTGGTATTCAGAATCTCCTTTTTCAATGTATATAGCTACATTATGTTTCTTGAAGACATGTGGCTCTCTCTAATGGTGTTTTTTTTTTTTCTGTTTGAACTGTGCTACTTCCACTGCTCTAAGGTTACGTGGGCCTGCAGTAATTGGCATGCATGTAAGACAGGTTGCTAGGAAGCCACTGGAATGCTTTGTGAATGGCCAACTGTGCTTGTCTGTGTCTAAGCCCATTTAACCCTCCAAAGTGCAGCGCTGTGTGAAGCCAACTCCACATCACTCCTGTGTCATGTGTTCTAAAAGAACCCTGTACAGCACACATGTAAGGGTTGCATAAGTTCCACTGTTTGTGTACATTATTATTCCTTTGATTTCCTTCTTGGCTTATGGCCACTTCCCTGGCTAATAGGATTAGACCTCAGGGTGCCAGCCAGCGTTTACTGTGATTACTTTACAACAGTCGTGTTGAAAAACAAAGAGAGCCATCAAACCGAGAATTTGTTGTCCTGCAAAGACAGAGGGAAATGCGGTCATGTAGTAAGGTAGGGTAGAGACATGCCCCTCGGGTAGCTAGTGGCTTAAAGACTGGAGGGGCAGAGCATGGCCTGGCAACTTTCCAAAAACGTCTGGAAAACAAACCTCAAAGAGGGACAGGTGTATTGACATACACACTCCTCCCCCTGACAGCAAGTGTCTTAAAAAAAAACATGGATAAGTGGAGCAGTGGGCTTAAAGACGTGAGAGTGACTGGCAGAAAATGTTTCTCTCTTTTTAAAGCTGTTTATTTCTTTGAAAAGTGTTGGCATTACTCACCCTACTTAGGCCCATGTGGTAGCTGCTCTTCTCCAAATCCAAGGACTCCAGTAGCTCCTCCACAGCCTGGGTAAATGCAAACATACACAAACACACACACACACACACACACACACACACACACACACACACACACACAAACACACACACACACACACACTTAGTCTTTGAACCAGTGGATCCAGTGGGAACTTCTACTGACACTGCAACACTTCAGTAGTCCACAGTTCCCAAAAGTTGCCATGCTGAACTAATGGTACAGGGCAGTTTCCAGTCGTCTCTCTCACATCCATTCCCAACTGGGTTTAGTTTTGAAAGTAAGCCTGGGAAAAGTTCGGCCCCTTAGAACCTCCCAACCCCAACCACAACCCAATTACAACTTTTTCACCGAGAATCCACCTGCTACTGGCTAACTCCTCGGGACCCCCTGGTGGTCTTGGCCCTATTGCAGCTTTGAACACACTTATAAAGCACATACAGAGATGGAGCATCAGCCAGCCTGGAGCCTCTCCCTGTCCATAGCAGCCTGTGCATACTGTAGGTGTACTGTTCTCTTTTAGCCTCTTCTCTCTGCTTGAGCCCGCAGCCTGAAAGAGCACATCTAGATTACACCGGGAGAGGTTTGCCATGAGCACTATAGGGCTCTTGTTTTCCAGTGTTTCCACAGAAACTCAGCCCCAGTACACAGACACAGGGGAAAAGAGCTTTTCTCTCTTAACCCCATTCTCTCCCTCTCCCTCTATCTTTCTTATTTCTCTCTAGATACAAGCTTTTCTTTTTCTCCCCATTTCACTTCAATAGAAGGCTTCTGTTGCCAAAAGAACCATTGCACTGCACACAATCAGTAATAGCTTGCTTTAAAAAAAAATACACAGGGGTTTTTTTGTACACAAAATTATTTTTGCATTTGTATGGAAGTATTTACCTGCCATGGCTAAAAATAACAAGATATTGTCATATTATTACAACAAACACACGTATCAAATTGCAGTTTTAATACAAAATATTTACAATATTTATTTGCTTCTGATCTTTTTGACATCAAATGTAAAAACTGATTCAGTTCATACATGAAACCTTTAACAATATGATAGCTTAAATTGTTATAATGTGAAACTCATCTTGTAAGTATGCTGAGGAAAAATGAATGAGAGCAAATGGCTCCAATATGTAACTTAGATCAGTTATATCTGAGCACATTTGAAGTTTTCTATACACATAGCTAATCCTTTTATTATTTAAATATTTATCATCTTGTGATTCTGGTCTCATAAACTACCCTATATCCTCTAATAATCTGATATACAGTATGTCCATATAATAATTCTGTCAGTGAATCAGTGCAGTCCTCTTACTCTTCTATTCTGCATTGTCTATTATCATGTTTACGAATGCTGCATGTTGTCTGTTCATACAAGATGCTAAGGTTTGTTAGATATATTCACCTGTACAACTACTGTGTTGTATGTTACAACAATATATGTAATGACTGGAGTTGCTACAAGTGAGCTATCTCACTTCTCTTGAATCTCTTTTGAGGATGTGCACACTTGTGATCCTCAGGATGTACGGATCATAGATATAGAAGATATGTGTATTTATATATATATTATATTTATGGTCATGATCATGTATTTATAGAAAGCTTCATGAATATAAGCTACAGAATTACGCTTCACTGCAACTGGAGTACATAAGACAGGAAGTCCACTTCCACCTGAGACCAACTCATCTTTATATGGCATGAACACTTGCCTGTAAACACACATTGAGGTGCTGTAACGAAATGAAACTATTTAGGGTTTAATAACGTTACAATTTATCGTCATATAGTTAACTCTTCCTCATACAAAGTAATACGAATCTGTTGTTTTTCTTTTTAAAATGCCTCAAATTTAAAACAAAAGCACGAACCAGGTGAAACATAAGTATCTTCATAGCAACAACAAAAAATGTTGACAGCTCGTTCCCTCATTACAAAAGATGATGAGCTCCTTAAGCCAAAATGCTGATTTCCCTTAACAGGCATGATATTGATAAGGTTAAGTTGATTAGATCATTACAAAGGCTCTGATTGATGAGGGTTTACTTCTCTGTCGGTCTGCTGCTGACAAACCAGGGGCAGACGTAATGAAGCTGCCTCCTCCCCACATTAATCTTCACTGTGCTAGCTTGGCAACTGGTGGGGCTGAACATTTCTCTCTCTCTCTCTCTCTCTCTCTGATTGACTTACTCTCTTCTCGTCCTTCACAATGTAATTTCTCCCGTGCTTCTTGGTGAGATGCGGTGCCAGCACATCAAATCGCCGTCGGAACTCAGAGAACACCATGTGATCGGGGTAACCTGTGAAGGTCGGTGGGGAATGACATAATTGGATTTGGGGAATGTTTGAAAAATGTAAGAGACATTTTCAAATAAGACAAATATTAAAACAGATTCTTTTTTTTTATATATATATATATATATATTTGAACATGGCGGTCAGTGTTTTTTCCCTGCCTGCTATTAGTCTTTCAGTCTAGCAGCTAGCTCACCTTGCCTGTGGATCCGGAGAGCATCGAGTAGCTTTGATCCTCGGAGTTGAGCACGGAGCAATGCTACATCCAGCTGCATTAGGCCGGGATCTCCAGTCTCTCCCAGAGCATCGCATTCCCCTGCTTTGAACAGGGATCCACTCAGAGCCTTGAGGGCGTCTGCCTTGGGCAATATGCAGTGAACAAAGTGTATTCTGGACCTCCGTACCATATCAAGGAGAGCGTCCTGGGAATGATAGAGCAGGGTTAGGGACTCTGGCAGGAATAGGCAAACAACTTATGTGGTATTTTCCAAATACAGATTCATGTTTCCATTCACTGAGTTCTTCCAAACAACCAAATGCTATGCATACTGGTTCTGACATAAACATCTTAAAATATAACAAGAACCCCTGAACAGACTGTGCTTTAATACCCACATGCAGATTAAATCTACTATCTTAATTCTTAACAATGCTGTTGCAAAGAATTTAAGAACTCAGCTCTCTAGATGACAGCAAGAATAAAAATGCATTTTATTGTATACATTCTTAAAAGCTACCTTTAAGTGTTTTATGTTTCTATACCCTTTGTACTTAAGGGCTTAAAGCGGATCCGTATCAGGCTTTTTCTTTTCACCTTTTTCTTTTTACGTTACACAGATTATCTACTGAAGACTTTAACTTCTTTCATACCAAATGATTTATTCCCTGATTGGAGAAGTGACTTTTTCATGTATTTTAAAGCAAAAAAGGCCTGGTCTGGGGCGGAGACGGCCTAGTGGTTCGGTCACGCCCATGTACAGAGGCCATAGTCCTCAAAGTTGGCCCCTACTCTATCTGCTGTCCTGTCTAAATAAAGTCAAAAAGCCCCCCCCAAAAAAAGACATCTTAAAAAAGAAAGGCCTGGGACTTTTTTCATTTTTAAAAGACCAAAGTGTAACTCTGTAACCTAGTGTTCAAAATGAGTACTGCAGTCCAAATTCAAACATTGGAGGGAGCTGTCTATCCCCCCTGTCCCATCCTCCCTGGAGTCGTTACGCACACTGCTGCAGTATGTCGCGGACACAGAAGCTTCAGTGTTCCTCAGATCTGCATCGGTACTGGAACCTTTCTAACCTCTCTCCATTTTTCAAAAGCATCTCCAATATTAATTCTAGTTTTACCACATTTCTGGTCATGCAGCTTTTTAGAAAAATGACGAGGCTTTTAAGGTGGGGTAGAATCAGTTATATCTGAACCAGTTACTTGCCCGCTTCCATCGCTGCAACACCTGCTGGTTGGCAGCGATGGAACCGCCTACCTTCTCTGGTCAAAACAAAAACAAGCTAATATTTAGAAAAAGACTTAGTGCTGGACTTAAAAAATGCCTGTGAACATAATCCAATAACAACGGCTTTATCAGGTAAAAGAGTTGGAATCAAGTAACTGCAAAAATGTTCTAATATTCATCTCTGGGTGCAGCCCAATCTGGCTATCATCCCATTCATTTTCTCTAAAGCTGCATAAAACAATCTGTGACTAGTCCAAAGCACACCACTATTTGGACTATCAGCCTTGATACACTTATCACATCAATCTGCAAAGTCGTTTGATAACAGGTGTGAAATGGCACGTTAACAAACCAAACAGGAAGAAATCAATGGAAAAATAAGGTGTAAACTTCAATGTGGATTCTCAGTGTTCTTGGAAGCACAGGCACTTTTTGAAACTTGGCAGTAAATGAAAAACACAAACAGAAAATTTGACTGACAGCAGAGTCCCATCCTCTCCTCTCACCACTTGAAGCTTGATCTGGATGCACAAGGATTTCTTCTTGATAGCAGCCACTCCTGTGGTGAAGGTCTTTCTCATGCTAGTGGCCCTTCGCAAAGACAGCTGGGAAACACCTTCAAGGCCTGCAATGGACCCTGACAGGACTGTGGCTCCACCTGCTCTGCTCATGAACAATGAGCTGATGATCTTCCTGAAAGAGATGCACAACCTCAGCCTCAAAGTTTCTACTTATACACCAAGTAAAACGTCATGCAAAAACAGGTGTAAATCTCCTGCTTTAAATGGGACACTTACTTCTGGGAGTCCTGCAGGAGGAACGCAGCGTTGGTGGAGGCAGGATTCTGCTTGGCATAGTTCAGCCACCCGCTGGCATTGTACTCCACCCAGTCAGTCCCATGACTGTGGCCCAGCAGAAAGTGGTTTTCCTTTTCACTCTTTAACAGGAAAGTGTGACCTGGTGGAAATGCAGAAAGGTAGAATGAGATTTATCGGTCTTTACACTTTGTCAGAAGTATAAGCAAAAGTTGGGGCACTGGTGGCACGGCGGTAAGTGCGTGCGCCCCATGTATGGAGGCCATGGCCCTCCAAGCGGGCGGCCCAGGTTCGAATCTCACATGTCATTCCTCACTCTCTCTCTCTCTCTCCCTGATTTATGAATCTATCCACTGTCCTATCTCTCCATTAAAGGCACAAAAAGCCCAAAAATAAATCTTAAAAAAACTGTACGGACGGTTTATTAAGGCAAGCTGAATTATTCTGGTATGTCGAGTTTTTTACAAACCTTCCCAAACTAAGTGACATTCAGACAAGTAACAAAATGGGGCCCTGTTAGCCTCTTTGTTTAGTTTTAATGTGATTGTTTAAAAGTCATGAAACAGGCCTCTAATGTAAATAATGCAGCTCTTTGACTGAACTATGGTGTAGGACTTCAAACAGACATGGCTAAAAAATGAAACAGTGTGAAGGGCTAAGAGAAACTTTGCCATTTATTTTCTCTAAAAACAGATTTTGAGTTTGAAAGGAGATGTTTTTTTCTAAGCTGTAAGCTTCGAAGCACCAGTTGTCAAGGTTGCTTAAATAAAAGAAGGAGACATATTTTTTTTTTCTTTAGTGAGTTACTTTCATTTTATTTCATGCTTTGCGCCATGAGCTTATATAACGTTTCACCTCTTATCTGGAACTGATGAGTATTTATAATGAGAGCTGAAACATCTTCAAGAACTTCAACCAAGACTGGTTGCCCTTTTTTTTTAATCGAGCCTTGAATTACAGTGACCCAGATGACTGAGAACCTCATAGACATGCTGTGATGTTCTGTGCTCATCTCTCTTACCTATAAACATGTACAAAATACCTTGATGTCTCAGCTCAAGAAAGATCAACTAACATAGGAAGGAGATAAATGATTCTGCTGACTCATCTATACTGTTCTAACAGCCTGATGGTGCTTTGAATGAAGTCTAGATCATTGATTATTCTTCATGACATACTACAGTTAACTACTTTTCTACATTTTTTCCTGAAGGAACTGAAATCTCAAAGTTGATTCTAATCTCAAAAGAACCCCAAAATAATTCAACATAATATTCCATGGCACAACAATAGAAAGTGAATACCAAGCATGTGTATTTACAGCATGACATTTCAATAGAAGTTCAATTGTGTTTGAATTAAACCCTTTTGTCAGCATATTCCAGTAAATATATATATGCTTGTTGTGCTTTGTGTGGGCTTCAAATTTGAGTGTGTGTGTGTGTGTGTGTGTGTGTGTGTGTGTGTGTGTGTGTGTGTGTGTGTGTGTGTGTGTGTGTGTGTCCTTGCCTTTACTCTCGCCCTCAGCAGGCCCGTAGTAGCTAAAGAGACGTCCCAGCAGGGTCTCCACTGAACCTCCGGGCTGCAGCGCCTCCTCCTCCATCAGCCACAACAGGCCCCGTGCCTCATCCGTTCGCACTGTTCGTACCTGTCCAATAAAAGTGTTCACACGCTTAGAAACACACACACTCACACAAAAGATCACTGGCACTAAGTGTAGTCCCAGTGAGAGCATTAAGTGTTCTGTTTCACCTTCAGGATACAGTAACACTCAAGTAGAAATGACAAAAGATTAACTGAAGACGTCCCTGATCACCGTTCCTTTAGCTTCCCTTCCAATTTACCTATTTCATCATGTTTACTATAAGTGCTTTCGTTTTTATAAACAGTACCTCATTAGCAAAAAAACCACCTTGCCACAAGGACGTTTAGCTCACTTAAGCTATTTAATGGGAACACACTGATGAATAAGAGGATATTTCAGCCCTTTTTTTTGTTTATCCACCTCCTGGGTACAGAAAGCAAAGCAGCAACTACTTCTAACAAAAGATTGATGAGAGCGCTCGCCTCTGAAGTTTAGTTCCCTACAAAACTTTGTTTTCTCCTACACGTCAGTAAAATTAGTTTGCACTATGTCTCCAAGTGTGAGCAGGTTGTCAAGGGCCTGATGGTAAGACCAGGATCACAAATTAAAGTTTCAAAAAGCTTTTTGGTCCCTGCAGCCTCCAGCAGTTGCTGCAATAATGGCATCATCAGTTTAGTTTTCTGTTTAATCGAATAAAAGGGAAACGAGGAGTTGCAAAGAAGAGGCGATGCAAGAGGAAAAGGTATTAAAAAGAAGTATAATTAGAATTTCAATGAGGGTGAACGCATGGGAGAAACTACAATCCACTCCAGTGTTGATGGTGATGGAAAAAGTGTAAGAGGAAGGTTTCTTTTCTTCTTCTTTTTTAATCTAAACTTGTGTCTGTAACAAGTCTAAAGTTTGAATGATGCACAAAGACATGTAGAACAATAAGCCCTAGGGACATCCATCTTCACAGAGAGGATGAGCAGCTCGGTTAGCATGGCTAACACCCTGAGAGCTAAGGGAACCCGAGCTCACAAAACCAAAAGCTGTTTCAGCAGTTATCAGGGAGTTACACCCGAGACATCCTTATCAGCTGTGCACACGACACTGACTTCAAGTACAACACAGAGTATCTGTTGGGAGGAGAGATACGACAACCATGAGGCTTGCAATGAAACGAGCATCGAGGCTGTTGCCGTAAAGCTACAACAGAAGATAACTACTATTGAGTGAAAAATAAATCTTTCATCCAAATGTCTTTTCAGTCATTAAAGTTGTCTTAAGATATGCCTTTGAAATATCAAAGTGTTTTGTTTTTTTTCTTTATCACCCTTTGGTTTTTGCTGTGATGTAGAACAGTTCACTGCTTCTGATGACATTCCCATTAGAGTGTAGGACCCTTTGGAAAGTAAAGCACTCAAACCGAACCCATTGGAGTTACAGCATACAGATCTATGACTCTGTAAACTCTGCCATTTCTTGTTTCCATGGTGCAGATCTGAGGGTACAAAGGCCAAACATTGATTTTCTTTCTTGAAGTCAATTCTCTAACCTTTTCTTTTCCAGCTCCTGCCCTCTCTTTCCATCATCTGCAGAGCAACACCTTTCAATATTTAAAAAGTCAAATAAAGAAAACTTTGGAGGGCCAACACATGTTATTCATTACCGAGTCAAAGAGAAAAGGGCTCACTAAAGATCAGAGGCAAGTTATTATACAAACATCAGATTTCTGCATGAAAATATGGACAAATGGGAGCCAGATATAAAGACATCACACACATAAAAACAGTGAACTTACCAGAGCTTGGCTTGAGGCCTGGTCTACCACTGCTACAGACAGAGAGGTGCTGGGCTCTGTGTCATCTAAAGCAAGCTCAATGTTCTCCTGAAAGGAGGCAGAGTGACAGACTCTTTAAAGACTTGTGAGGATGCAAAATGAAAGAAAAACAGAGATGTTCTAAAGGATATGTGAAAAAAACATTTTTGGAATCTTAATAACAAGCAGCTCAGTGCGAATAAGATAAGAGCAGAGGTAATATCATTCTCTGGACTAAGTCAATTAGGTTTCATAAAAAGGGTAGAGGTCTAAAAATGGTGATGTAGATGATGAAGAATAAAACAAGTGTGCGTTTAGCTTCATTATGTACCCATGTTCCTCTGATTGAGACAGCGCCTTTTTCTAGAAACTCAAGTATCCACACAGGAACTTAATTCCAGTTTTGGTCCTGGTCCCTAAGTAAACCGTGGTTTTGAGGTTGTACTTTTTAGATCATGCAGGAAATGTGGACCTTGCATGGCTGAACATGGCAGATTTGTATAAAACATACCTAATCCAATGCTGCTAGACACCTACACAGTGATCGTGTAAAAAGATGGTTATCAGCAAGAAGACTGTATTTAACAAGTCGACACCAAAGTGCCTTAAACTTGCATTCTTTGTAATCACAAGCAGGGGGCGACTCCACTTTTTGCAAAAGGAAGTCATATTGTTATCGAAGTCTATGAGAACATTTCCCTTTGATTCACCTGATTTATTTCCTAGTGAACATTTCCTAATGAGTTAGTGTTCTCCTCTTGATAGCTAGCTTATTATGCTAAAGGCTTGTTTACCTGGGATTGATAAGTTTCTACTACAACAACCTGTCTACCAGTGTTGAGGAATGGCAATGTTTATTCACTCTCATCCAAATATGGTCATTCCTAAAAGCAGCCGTTTCAGCTGTTTAAACTGGAGCTTCAAAAACGTTTGGGACCCCAACCAATGACTGCCCTCCTGGACGCTAACATCCGCGTATAATGTTTATGAATAGACCAGAGAAAGTTGCAGGTAGAGCTCCAGCAAACTACAGTACACTTAATGTTGCCTGCTTTTCAAATGTGCAGGTTTATTTCATCATTGTGATACCTGATCATTAAACATCTCATGAATTTAAACTCTTGTCCTGAAAAACTAGACATTTGAGTCCGTTTATTTGGACTGTTGGATATTTTAAAAGTGGATTTTCACTGTTTCTGACATTTTATTGGCCAAAAAATGTGTTTTAATCGAATAAGAACACTCATTTTAGTTTGCTCTCAGATACCAGGCATTCTAAGCGAGTAATCTAAAATCCTGATACCCTGTCATCACAGTACATCTAGGGAATTTGCAGGCACCCATGATGTTTGAGCAGATTTTATGGATATTGAAATGAATATACGATGGCATATTTAATGTAGGAAAACTAAAGGCCATAACAAATCTATTACACCATTTGACATTTATGAAGACTGCATTTTCTCCTTTTTGGTAAATGGAAACTCTGTTGCAGATAATAACATTTGTGGGATGAAGCGGAATAAATATTCTAAATTACCTTCAGCAGAGCAAAAAGCTCACAGTGACAGAGAGCAGGCAGCAGTAGTTATGTGGGGAAATGTTGGCAGAGCTAATAGTGTGGCTGTGACAGATGCCAGTGTTGGAGTTGACTGTGTGTGAAGTGGCCTGAATGGTTTTTGTTCTCTGAGATACAAAACAAATAGCCACACGGAGCTTCAGCACTCAAAAGCATTCAATTCAAAAAATATACTGTAAAGCATATGCCTGTTGTTTTTCTATTCCAGTTCAACCCACCTGTCACTGCCACTGTGGAGACTGTTTGCTGTTTTAAACCAGTTTGACCCAGTTTTAAAAGACACTTTCACAGCTTCTTCTACTTTAAAGTGCACTGACAAGAGAGAATTACACTACACGACTCATTTATACAATACTTCACTTCGCTCCAGTTCCTTTTTTCTCCCAGGCGGGGGACGTGGGTGGGAATGTGGGTGGGAAATCCCAGGATCCTTAAAAGTAATATTATGATTTCTGCTTAACTGTTAGTGTGCAATCAGCTAGAGTTTGACTAAAAGGGAGATTTCTGTGATTAGAGGAAAATAAATTGTAATGGATGAATTTAGCTAAAAACATCTTAATTTATGAAGGAACGGTTACTCCTGCGATCGGGGATAGAGGACAAATGGTTCTTTGTTGTGCAGCTGGGCGTGTCCCATAAAGGCAGGTGTGACTAACTTTACTTTGATCTCTGCAGAAGAGGTGAAGATAGACATCACTAATGAGAGATTCTAACACAGGAACTTGGCTTGTCACAGCTTATGACAGGTGGGAGGGATAGAGTATCTGATGTGTGAAAACATACACTATTAAACTTGACGTATCTGAGAGGAAAAACAGCAGACAAAAAAAGGAGCATGATAAGGAGGTGAGAGGGAGACAGAGACAATAAGAGTGCATGCTCCTTTCACATGTCCGAACCTCTTTGTATCTCTCTAACTCCTGCACGAAGGTACGCTGATAGAAGAGGGCGTGAAGGCGTTCTTGAGTGTAGTTATGGCACAGGTCCTCAAAGGTCGCCCCGCACTCACGCTTAGCCAGCCGCGGGTTTTGAAAGCCCGGTGTGTCCACGATTAGCAGCGAGCACAGGGAGTGCTGGCTGGATTTCAAGGCCCTGGAGCACACAGGGAAAACACACACATAGGCACAAACATCAGCGCATTGACACTTGAGGCAACACATTATCGATTATTGCATATAACCCTTAGCTTTGACCTTAGCTCTCTCCTGCATAGCCGTAACTTTAACCCCTTATGACACCTAATCCTAATTCTATTCTGGAAACTTAAACCAAGACCTAAGGTCACGATAGCTTCTTATTCTCAGCACCCTTTTGACAAGCATCAACAACCTCGCAAAGCTATGTTAGTGTTCATTTTGAATTGAAAATGTTAAGATTTGGAAAGATATGAAATCTGTCAAGGTTAATTAAAGATATGTGTCGACAAGGCATAAGAAAATCAACATTTAAAATTAACTTATAAATGATAAGTTTTACTTGAGTTTTAAGGTGGGATATACTAACCGGTTTATAAAAGAAATGAGGATGGTGAAAAGTTCAGAGTAAAGCCCAGATGCCATGGCTTCCAAACACTCCAATGCTGTAGACTTTGCTCCTGGTATGAAAAGCAGCCAAACACACCAAACAAATCAAAAACATCCAGTAGGAAAACAAATCTGTATATATCAAGATATAACTATCCAACTGGTTGGATGACAGGAAAAAAAAAGTGTTTCACTTTGAAAAGCTGGAAAAACACTATTGGCATGACATTTATTCAGCCTGGGCCCCAAATTGTCAAATCAGTGTCACTAGGGACTCAGGTGTTTTGGAATTGGTCAGATCAAACAGCCCACTGTCATGTCTGTGCCTGGTGGTGATGGACGCCTCTTAAACTTTCCCAAATGCATTCCTCTATTGCACAAAATGTGAGTTTATGGTACCTGAGGCATATATTCATGTGTGCGCATGACTGTATGGGCATGTGTGAGGGGGAGAGATTGAAGAAAGGTGAAACATAGGTGAATCCATTGTGTCCCTGCTGCGGCTGACTTTTAACTGCAACCTCATGCCCTTCAAAGTATGCTGCAGTCCTGATGGAAGTCAGAGGACGTTCACATGTGGGAAAATCAATGTGAGGCAATTATGATTTCAAGGACAATGAACGAGGAGAAGATCCAAAATGGCTTGTCCCAACACAGTGTGTCTACTTATCTGTCAATAGCCATTGTAAAGCTGTGGTATTCATTACAAAGATAAGCTTTACTTTCTCCGCAGCATGCAATTTCCCTCAAGTGATGAGGAGAGGCATATGTATTTGTGTGAGTGTGTGTGTGTGGGGGGGGGGGGGTGACAAAGAGAAAAGAGTAGAGGAGGAGAGGAGAGGTGAGACAGCTGTGAGGCCTGAAAAGGGAGATGTAAATGTAGTCTGTGGAGTACCTGCATCTGCAGTGCCGTTTTCGTCAGAGGCCTGGCGCGCGGTGCTGGCTCTGGGCAGGGTGCCCTTGGCCTGGTGCTTGAAGATGGAGGAGGAGAGCTCCTCCAGGGTGCAGCCCAGCAGGTAGGCAGCCTTCTGGGCCCACTCATGACGTGCAAATTGTTTCCTGCCAGCTGAGACACGTGCATGAAAACCTCCATTAGCCCCTTCTGCCAGCCACCTCCAGGCTGCCTGGCTAGACTGGTAGCTTTGTGACAATCCTTTCTCTCTGACAGGGTAGGATTATGTCTGTGGTCAAGCTGGCACTGACACAGCAGGTATGAACAAGCACTAAAAGCCTGCTCAAAGTGATGGTGGCTTGAATATATTTAACTACAGCTAGAAAAGGAGATTTATCCACAGGCTTTTGGCTGTTGTTCCATGTTGAAATGATAATTGCCACTTTTATCGCCTTGGGAATAAAAGCAACACTTGTCATAAGGGGACACCATTCATTTATGTTCACAAAGGCTTCTGTCAGAAAACACAAGTTTATTTTTAATCTGGTGTCTAAATGATGGAAACATGCAGATAGGAGTGTTAACTTGAGTGCTAATCCACCATGGAGTGGTATCTACTAAAACTTCAAAGATAGACGGGGGATATCACACTGAGAAGTGGGCTCTATCTGTTTCACATCAGCGCTCTGCAATCTTTTCATGATAATAAGCAGGGTGGTTGTGTTTAAATATTTGCTTTAATGGAGATTCCCCACTACAAATTTGGACAAAACTTTTAATATGAGGACATTACGTTTGCATTTATAACAATAAACAACTGGATCAAACACAGAGGAGTGAATGATGCTACAAGATTTGTTTTTTAAATCTACTTATCTTAAAAAAATGTTCGTACTCATCTTTTCTAAGTGATGACAGCACAGTACAGAGAAAAGCAACTACATTTCAGTGGTTTCAAATGTTGTGTTAAATGAGAGATTAGTGCTGCCCTCTTGTGTTCAACCATGAAGCTGCACTGCCAGTGACCGTATGGTAGTTTAAAACAGTTTTATAATCTGTGTTACAGTCAGAAGACAAAGTAAAGGCCTCTTAGCATAAATCTCCTTCAGTGGGGTATGATTCAAATCCTTTCATAAATAAAGACAGAGAGACTAAATGAATTCTTAGTAATGTGACCACTCATGACTTTTTTCCCTCCTCGATGGTTTCATCTTGAGAACATTTGTGTGTTTAACAGGAGTACAGAGATCACCCAGTAACTTGCACATCAGAACAGATGTTCTTTAGTCTTCTTACACCCCAAAATAGATTCTGAATGGGAAAATATGAATTGCTGAAATGTTGAAATCTCTTTCAGGATGGTGTTAAATTACCATCAAAACGATTGGCAGCCTACTAGAGGGGATCACTGGAAATAAATAAGCAAGAAATTCTGCATTACAGGCTGTCAGTCACTTGCAGAGCAGACTGAGAATGAAAAGTGAGCAAGCAGCCATAAAAGACAGAGTTACTGTTTCTATACATTAATTATGATTCGTGTGTTATTATGATATACTGTGTGAGCTGCTTCTAGAGAGAAACTCATCCATCCATCCATTACCTATACTACTTTTTCACGTTTTGGGTTATGGGGTGGCGGAGCCGATCCCAGCTGTCATTGGGCGAGAGGCACCATGGACTGGTCGCCAGTCAATCACAGGCATGACATATATAGAGAAAGAAAACCAGCCACACTCACATTCACACCTACAGGCAATTTAGAGTCAGTAAATGATTGATAAGCAGAGGATTTTCATTTAGAAATACATTTGTACATCCATGTAAGGTCTACTATACCTGTCTATGAGGAAGGGCCCTTCACACTTAATCAAAAACTAATAGACTAATAGAAACCTCCCCAGTGATGAAGATTGACAGCCCCAGCCTTTTAAAATGGAAGATTTCTCATTTTAAAATTTGAGAGTCAAATGCTGTGGGAGGCAGATCTTTTACCTCAGAACAAAATAAAACAATGAAACCGTCTTACATTAGATTTCATCAGACAAATAGCTTCAAAAGATGACAGGAGCACATCCTCGCGTTAAAGAGGACTGCTGCTCCCATAAGAGTTCTGATGAATTCTTATGACAAGATCAAGTAAAGTCTGTCAAGACTTAGAGCCAAAAGGTGGCTGTTTGGTGGTTGTGTCCTTGAGCTGCAATCGTGTCTCCTGACTATTTGACTCTGATAGTTTGCCATTGATTTCAGTTGATGAAGCAGTGTTTATATGATGTAATACTTCAGTACAGAATAATAATAGCAACATGACAGAAGGGTCAGAACAGAAAATGAGTCACTTCACCTGTTGCATGCAAGCATTTACAGAAGAGCAAATCACCAAGACTCAAATGATGCAAATCTCTCCTTGTATTATTTTGTATTTCTATCAGTTCTAAAGCAGGAAATGTTTTGCAATGACTATTTCCTGGTCACCATGGATATTATAAGACACTTCAGGATATTAATAATTCTTCTTTTTGAGTTTCAAATCAATGCAGTACGGAGCAATGTAACAACCTCTGCACTGTGCAACATCTTTTAAAGTGCAATTGCATAATTCAGTTATCTGGATTACAGCTGTCTTGCGTCACACTGAAGACGTTACCTTCAGTGATTTTATAAACGTTACATGTTTTAGATCATACAACAGCTCATCTTTGACTCTTTTGACTTTCTCGTCAGCCTCTATAGTTGGCATAAATCAAGGGTGATCCTTTGCATCTTTGCCACAGTTATACGTTATTTTAAGATTAACATTGTGTTTGTGGTGGAAGTTACAGAACAGAAAAGAAAATGTAGCTTACCTTTAGTAGCTCCTGCAGCCCCCAGATGGTAGATGGCCCCCAGGACGAGCCAGAAGGCCCTCTGCTCATCACTGCTGATCCCCAGAACCCTCATGGCTGCCTGCAGCTTAGAAAACTGCTGGGAGGCCCGCTGCTTATCCTCAGTCTGGCAGATAGCACATACGTTCAAATAAATGTTGTTTTTGAACTACAGTCGAAGCGATAAAATGATGCCTTAAAGTAAAGTAGGCTTCAGCATATTGCACCAGGGCAGCCAAAAGATGCTGACATAATCCAAAGATTATTAAACTCTTCCTTAAGTTATGAAAACATAGACTCTAAAATAAATCTATTGTCATTCCTGTAATACAGAATGACCCTCTGCTGTGTGCGAGCAGGTGAGTATCAGTTATAGAGAGTTATTGCCTCTCACACATTCACAGAATGCAAGAACTAATTGGCAGAAGGCTGCTATCATTAGGTTGCGAACAGCAGTCAGTTTATGTCTCAGCTTGTTCTTTGTTGCCAGTTTGGTGTGTACCAGCCTTTAAGCAAAACAAAGCTACAATGCATCTACCAGTTAGTCATAACCCCCCCCTCCATATTCAGTTATTAAGAAACAAAAATCTGTTTTTGAGACTGCAACCTTTCTTTGAACCAGGCTGTAAACATAGGGTTAGCATGGCCGTTTTAATATGGGATCCAAAGGAGATTGCGGCCAGCTTCAACGTGACAACCGAGGAACTGCAGTTTTTTGCACTTCTGCACTGGCTTCATGTTTCAACATGGGAGGTTACTGATTGCATGAAATATGAAAAGGCTCCTTAACAAAGTGATAATGGAAGACTTAAGATTATTATTGTTTTAATGTGGTTAAGGCCTCAAATCACTTAAGATTCAGAGTGAGGAACTGAAGAGAGCCATCCACTACTGACTTTACTACAAAATAGATCTCATTTTTATTTTCAAATAAGTAAATTCTAATTCCTCCTGATGTGGGTGTGTGACAAAAGAACAGGCATAACACATCTGGTTGAGGTAACAACATGAAAATCTATGGGGCTCACTCACTTTTTATTGGCACCATAACATCAGAGAGGGTGATTTTGAATCTGTCTGATATAGCTGCGTTCACTTGACATTATCTAAACATTCAGACCAGTGAAAGTTATCATTGACAATAAGTATTTACCTTAGTCTGAGGCATGATCCCAAATGCATGGTTTTCAGCAAAATGGTTGAGGTGCAGCTCAGTTCTGGTAAAGAAATGGAAGACACACAAAATACATCACATCTCATGTCTAGCTTTTTCTAAAAGCAGAAAAACACTGTTGCAATATGCGATCACAATTGCTCCGTGTAGAACTGGGCTGTATTGTGCATATAATCTTGACCTTAGAGAGCTGTCTACTCCTGCCATCAGGTAGTAAAAGACATTAAAAGTGGACTCTCCCTCTGGTCTTCTCGACACTCTAATCTTCTCCAGAAGCATGGTCTGCAAGGCCACAGCAGAACACAACATGAGTGAGTTAGAAGATGACATGTATTATAGACAGTAAGTGAAACACTTGTTCCAGATGAAAGCAGATAAAGAAATGATTTAGGGTGTTTGTACCTGGATAGAGGCTGATGTCACCAGGCCTGCTTGGTCGAAGTCCATGGAAACAATATGGGAGAAGCGACTAGCATTCCCATTCATACAGGTAGAGGAATTCCCAAAGGACTCCAAAACTGTGTAGACCGCTTGCCATTTCTCTGCTACAGTCAACAAAGAGACAAAGTGTTGGTGTGTTGACATGACATCAAAAACAAATATTTTGGAGTTTGCATCATCTCCAACCGACTTGAGAATGACTTGTTGGTGCTGCCAGCGATGTTGACCAGATATTGGATGATGTGTTGACAGTTGGTGGTCTTGCCACTTCCACTCTTGCCCAGCAGGACAATGGACTGATCCTGCCTTGTGGTCAGGAGGTTTCTGTAGGCAGACTGGGCCATGCTGTATATGTGAGGGGCGGCATCCTCCCTTTTGCAGCCTTTGAACATTTGCATCACCTAGAAAGAAAAACCAGGTGAAAGTGAAGAGGAGACTAGAGGGGGTAAAAATACCATAAAGAGAGGTTGTTCATTTCAATTATCTTTATACTTAAACACAGATTCTGATAGTCTGATATCCCATGTGAGAGGGGATATTATATGCACAGACACAATCCTACCTTCTCAGAGTACATGGAGGGGGCACTAATGGGGTTAATAACCACCATGTTGGGACCGCTGTGGGTGTGCACCAGGTTACCACCATAGCGCTGCCTCAGGGAGTGCATCACGCTCGACTCATTTAAATACTGCAGAGCGGCCAAGTCCTCCACGCGGTCAAACATCGGAGGGTTTGCCTACGGTTCAAAGTCAGAAACGCAGTCACGCACTCACTCAGTGTCGTCTGTAATTGATGCGCTTCAAAGTTGATTCGATGATTAAATACCTTCTCTACATCGTCTTCATCCACGTCCAATAAAGATCCATCACTCTCCAGGCAGATTTTCACCTTCCCCTCTGGCAAACTGCCTGCCTGCGTCTTCAGGAGGGTCGCTGCATGCATCACCATATAGTTGGAGTTAATCAATCATGGCATATGATCTCAACCTGAGATAAAAGCTTTGTCTTATATTACATGTCTGATAATGGGCATTAGTTGTATCGCTTTTAAATAATGCCTAAGCTGCATTAAAACTAGATGAGCAGTTGATGTTCAAAATAAAACCAATTACATGCAGCCTGAGGTCAAACTGAGAAGTCTAGTCTGGTGCCCTCCGGTGAGATTCAAATCATTCAAAGCACTTTCTAAGCTTCACAAAAACCAACCTTTATTGTTCAACAGAGACAGACACAGCACTACAGACGGGATAGTAGGTTGGCTTTGAATACTCGTTTTGACACATATCATTGAATACTAGGTTTTTACTAACCCAAGGAGAATCCGTCTTTGTGGACAAGCCATACTTTTTCTGTGTGGTACCAGACTTTCTCTGCTGTTATCTGCTCCTCAGTCTTCCCCTGTTATTACAGATTAAACAAGACAAGGAGAGAAAACACATATTTTGTTTAAGAATTAAGAAAGCAACATCAACACTGTTGAATGATTAACAATACACTAGATTGCTCATAACAATACTTAAACAAATATTTTACAAGAGACATAAAAGTGTATTTGATTTAATGGATTCAGGACTTCTTCAGGTGAGAAAACCTGCATTAATGTTTTTTTTTTTTTTTTTAAGTATATTTAACCACTTGTGTACATGTCCATTACACATTAGACCTTCACAGACTAACTACAGTCCACACAATCCATATTTTTAAAGCAAAGTTCAGTGCTCACAGAGTGTGCATTTAATCTGTTTAAAATAGACACCAAGCAATAAAGTTCAGTTAGTGGTGTTTCAGTAATAACAATTACATCACATAGATATAAATAGAGGGGACTGCTAAATAACTAAATGACCACAACAAACAGCCATCCAAGAGATGGCGGTGAGTCATGCATTTAATCACTTCAGGTACACTATGCTATATGCAACACTGCATAACTTTAGTTCTCTTCTTTATGTCTTCTCTCTGGTTAAAAATGTGCAAACAAACAGCAGGTTGTGCTACTTTAACAGTTAGTGCTATAGTGAGAATGAAAGCCAGGCTTTCATGTTCTCACTCCCTTTTCCTACTTCATCACACGCAAAACCACAAAAGAACACATCACTCTGAAACACAGACGAGGGGGGAAGCAACCAGAACCACAATCAGTTGTAGTAATGGTCAGACCTTAGCCGCAGCCGAGTGTGCTGCCTGAAGGATGGCCACAGGGTCCTCGACAGGCTTGGACTGCAGAAGTGAAGGAGCAGAGTCAAGGATTTATTTGCATCTTTATTCAACAACTTAAAGTTAGCAACTTCAGAGTGCAGGATAGAAACAATGCAGAATATAAAACGGTGGAAACATTTTACAGTGAGGCAACATTTGAAAGAAAAACGGAGATTAGAAAACATTGCAGCAAGGCCAGAGGCAGTTCAACAACGCGGTCTAGCAACGGCAGCAGAATAAGTAAGTCATTGAAGTAAATTCACCATAAAAAATGACACTATTATTGCATTAATGAGCAGGGATTACAAGGTGCATTAAAGTGCAGCGTGTTCACGGGTGTGTGGATAAATTCACGTTCTGTTACATTAACAGTCAAAGTTAACAAGATCAGTTGTACACAGGACGATTTAAATGCAGGGAACCGTGCAGCTAGGTGTAAAACAATGTTATAATCTAATTCTAATGAAATCAGCTAGAGAAGGAGAGCATGGTACTGCATCAACACAGGGGCATGATGAAAAACTAATTTCAGATATAGGTATGGGATATCAATGCAAGTATATTCTGGAATACCCGGAGTTCTATAGTGATAAATGTGTCTTCTGTAATGTTAACTACAGTAAAAGCACCAAACCAATACACAGCTTCATATTCTTAACATTGTAAACTTACTGCAGCATTGCAAAAAACAAGCTTTATTAGTGTTTATGAGACCTCCAAACCCTGGTCAAAACCCTGGTTTTATATAACCAAATGGTTATAGTCACATTTCTACATTCTAGGTTCATGAACCCAGAATGAACCTCCGACAGCACAGAGGGGACAAAAGAGGGAGCGGGTAGGCACAAACAAAGAGGGGTCAGTAGAGGGGAACTAGCTTTAGACTCCAGCACTCTACAGGCGAGGGAGGCACGGCGAGCTGCCCGTGGAGCAGGCTGTACCTGAGAGGATTTGCGGCCTCTGGCACGCTGGCCATGCATACAGCACAGAGGACAGCAGCAAGTCAGGATCCAATGACCCACAGAGAAGCAAAAGAAGAGACACATGGGACATCATTTGAGACAACAGGAGATCAGAGCAAGGAGAAGTGTCTTTCAGTGCGCTAGAGACTGAGGTAAGCAGACACTGCAATATGATCGAGCACTGCAGAAATAATCAGAGAGCAAACAAATCGTCACACAGTACAGCTCCTTTGGACCTGATAACAAAGCAAATAACACTCACACACAGGAAGGCAATAAACACAATATAGAAGCTGTTACGATTCATTATTAGATGTATAGATGTTTACCAATATGTACAAGGGCGAACGCTATGGGCTTTTCTTTTCTGGAAAAAAAAGCTACCAATCAAATACAAACCTTTAAAAAAGTTAACATGTAATTCATTTTTTAGTCTCCGTGATGTTGTAAAAAAGAAAAACTCTGAGAGTGAAACACGTTAGGATGGTTTTGGAAAAGCTTAAATCACCTAGGCAACCAACTTAGGATTTGTGAGACAGAAAATGTTTCTTAGGTCCCAGAGTTTCTAATTTCACACCAAGTTGACAACAACCCCTGTCACTTGAACCCCGAAGGCAGAGGGACAGCTCAGGACAGCCCAGCGTGGACCTTTGTGGGTTTTTAGACATTTAAGCAGTTGGCTCAGGCTGCTCACAGAGGAAGTCTTTGTGAAAGCATGGCAGGTGCAAACCAAACAAATAGAGCAAGGGAAATAGAGAAGTTACATCACTGCCATCGACGTTGAAGATCCTCCTCACACGTTTGTAATCGTCCTCAGAGGGAATCAGTTCTGGGACCTACAGTTGGATAGCAGGACCAGCAATTGCAATATGGTAGCCAGTATGTACATTACATAGCTATAATCAATTTCCCCTTATGTGTGTGGCCACAAACAAGCACGCATTGTTAAAAAAAAAAAAAAGCCTAGTTCTGCTGAATGTTGGAAACACACACTGTTAAGTGTAGCTTTGCAGCAAGATAACCACACACCTGTTCTCTGGGTGAAGTCTGAGCCTGGGACAGTACAACGGGGGTCGGCTTACCATTGGGGACCGCAGGGGGACAAGATATCTCCTTCACCTTTACACAATATATCCAGATATTCACAGACACACAGTGTGACGGACAACACACAGATGGAAAATGACATGGGAAGATGACAATGAGGTCGGTAGTTATGTTTTAGTTTAAAATGTTTCAAGAAAAAAGGATTTCTCTCGCCACTAATTGCATTTTCAAACTGATTCCGTCAGGAAATGAGTTAAGGGAAATGACTATTAAAGAAAATTGGCTCATTAAGCGCTGCAGAAGAAAGAAAAATGGTTCACGGCTTTTGTTTGTAAGTGGTTACTTGAGCAAAAATCTATTGGAAATAAGGTCATTTAACATTTTCTCAGCTATAATCTCAAACAACTGCATTTACAGCCAAGAGATGTAGATGAGGCAAATCGAATCATTGTATCTCCTTACTTTGCTTACTGTATAACCGCATGCCAGATTGATATTTACACTCTTGTCTTACAGCTGCTGCTACTCGCATCAAGATTTCAAGTTTAACTTGCTGACTGCTTCAGGTTTTGTATTAAATCAAGGCTAAATAATGCTATTCATATGCCGCAAACAAAGCAGTGGGAGAAACTTGGGGTTAAGTGTCTTGCCCAAGGACACATCGGACATGTGGCTGCAGGAGCTGGGGATCAAACCCCCAACCTTCCAGTTGAAAGACGACTGACTCTACCAACTGAGCAACAGCTGCCCCATAAAGAAATGCTTACAAAACCTTAAGGCATTGAACCCATTACTGCACACATTATACTGTTTTTTTTCCCAAGGATATCTTAGTTGTATCTCATGGTAATGGCTTATATGTGTTATTATATGTCTTGTCAATATGTAGCTCACCCCTCTAAACCCCCACAGGTGCTGTGTCACACATACGTTTTAATTTCTAATACCATATTGGAAACCCAATCTCTCCTTACACCTGCTAATCAGAAAATCCCCCAGTAAAAATACCAGGCGCATATCTCCAAAATCAAATCCTCACTCCATGGTCATATGCCCAACTGATCATCAGATTTCATGGCTATCTGTTAATTCGAGGCACTGAAGCACAGGACAAACATGTTACCTTGTCTGAGGAACAAATCAAAACAGAGACTGTGAATGTATTAACAATTTTGAAAACGATAGTGAGTTGTCAAAAGTTTAGAGGAAGATGAGTTTAACTAATCACTGTACACGCTCCGACCTGAACATGGCTAGTTGACCAATTGGATCTTAGTTTTTCCGGGCCAATGACGAGCACTACTGATAAGTTCAAGAAATTGAATTCCTATCATGACTCCTGTTTCTTTAAAAATTATCCCAAAAGAGCCCCAGAAAGTGCAAAGCTTCAACTCTCTGCCTGCAGCAAGTGACAGTAATGAGTCACAGCTCAGCGCTCATAGACAACTCGGACTGAACAGACTACCAGAGAGCCTTATACCCTCTGATAAAGTATACTCATAAGCTAGTATATGTGCTCTGCTTTCCTTCACTTATTCAGGGGGGGCTTCTTTATATCAAACCTCGAAAAGAAGTAGATGACGATTAATTATGTCGGTTGTTAGATGATTGTCAAGAAGTTCAGCAAACAGAATCACATCTGCGACAAGCTTAGGCTGTCTTAAATGGTTCATATTGTTTAAGATTAAATAGCTTCATGGTGAACAGTGTTAAAACGTGGAATGGTCAGGGTTTAATCCTGGGAAAACCCAAACAACAGAGTCAATATGAATTTCCAGTCATGTCTGTTATTATCACGCAGCATGCTCCGTCCAGAAGTAAAGTCGCAAACATGCATTGTTGTCGTTTTTCACTCCATACCTCTTGTTTCTTCACAGGGACTTGACGAGGCTTTGGGATGAAGCCTGCAGGGGGGGCCAGGGGGTCTGTCTTTATGACAGGAATGAATCCTGGAGGTCTTGCCAGGGCATTCTGTTTTGGGAGCACAGGACTGGGTTTGCTGGCAGGGATGAAACCAGGTGGAGGACTCAGGATGTTCTGTTTGGGGGCAGGGATAAAGCCAGCGGGTGGGGCTAAAGGGTCAGGTTTGGGAGTGGGGAGGAACCCAGCTGGAGGAGTGAAGGGGTTGGACTTTGGTGGTGTAGTTGTGGGTGCAGATGTAGTCGCAACCTCCTCTGGTTTTTCCTCCTCCTCCTGCTGCTTTGTCTCCTCCTTCAGGTCCTCTTTGTGGTCCTGGTTGCGTGTTCGAGGTCGGTGTTCCTTGGTTCTGCTTCTGCCCATTAAACTGGTTAAGCCCATGGAGATATCATCCTTGTCTACTCTAACAGTTTTGGTGGTTTTAAGCACAGACTCTGCGGCGGGAGTTGCCCTTGCAGTCTCAGAAGCAGCAGACTGGGTAGTCTCTTCCGTCCCAGCTGGAACAACACGTCTTACCACTCTTCTCACAACCCTCACTACCTTTTTACCGCTCTGATCCTCCCTCGGATTGTCCGGACCGCCCATGGCCCCGTTACTGTTGGACTCCTCAGCTGTCGATGCAATTGATTGTGGACCACTTCCTGTGTCAAGCCCAGGTGTAGAGACGGCCTGAGGCTGAGTACTATCTACATCAGACTGTGAACAAACAGAGCAAGGTGGACATGGTGCAGATTATTCTCCAGGCCGACCGATAAACTGTTTAAGAACAGCCGGGTCTAGGCTCAGAAACTCTCCATAGGAGAGAAATTCATCAATCAACACGCTACCGTCTCCCTTTTGTATATCTTCAAAGCCTCACTACAGCTTGTATTTGCAACCACTAAACTGATCATATGCAATCAGGCCATTCCACTGAGTTATTACTCTCTATTCTACTCCTTTGTCACACCTTAAACATGCACTAATGCATTTCAGGGAGAAACGTTCAATTTAAAAATAACCTCTTCTGTTTCCAGGCGGGCGCCCCATATACAGTCCAGATATACATATCCTCGCACCTTGGGTGCAGGTCAGACCCTCAACATTTCCTGTATGTCATTCCCCACCTCCTTCCAATATTCCTGTCACTCTTCACTGTCCTACTAATAAACACTAAAAAAAATGTCCTAAATACTAAACCAATAGCTAGGGAAGGAAATGATGCAGATATTGATTGACATTTGCAGGAGCAGCCTTTATCACAGTATGTGAGAACATTTCAACACACACACAATGATGACCGACAGGACAGATACTGTTATATATGAAAGTCTGTGAAAGTCTATTCTAACTTTTTTTTTTTTTTTAAATAGCATGCAAATATTTATGCCAAAGTTCTAGCAAGACTTTCCATTATTTTTTTAATGAATTTTTGCAGATTCATGGTTATATTTTCAATCTAAGTCTATATAATTATCACCATTAATTAATTAATTGGATAAAGATAAGTGTACACTGTGTTTCAGACAGTGGGCTAAGTCGCGCCAAGTGTCAACAATAAAAAAAACTCAACTGTTCGAAAATGCTCACTTTTAAATCCCTGCATTTGACTTGGTCTGGAAACAGTTGTTGCCCTGAGAATAATGAACATCAACTTTTAGGCCTATCAGCACACAGTTAATCAATGAGCTATTTATCATCATCCACTCCAAAGCTTAACACATTGCTAGTTCATTTTCCAAAGACCATGTTAGAGTAAATGGACTTCAGGCCACAGAAGGTCCCAATAATGATTCGTAGCCAACTTTTCTTTTTTTTCCCCACTTTTTTTTTGTTACACAGCACAAAAAAAAGGAATTAGTGGCCAAAAGCATGCATGTGAAAAAAAGAAACTTACATCTGACTTCTCAACTTTAACCTACACAAAAGGAAGGAACACAAAGAGAAAATCAAACCAAACATTCAGACAAAAGGTATCCTCTTTTATATAAGGGAGCATGCATTGTAGATATAAACTGCGAAAAAAAAAAAAAAACACCAAAATGCAAGACTTCCCTTATGCTCCCAGAATGAAAAGCGTGATTTGTACGCCATGGTGACAGGCCGTTTGTCATGGAACAAGCTGGGGGATGTGGAGAGTAAATGTATGGGATGAAGAGCGGAAACAAAGAGAGACAGTCGAGGAGAGGAGGATGCACCGTGCAGAACGATGAAGAATAGGAATTTGGGGATGGGTGATGGGATACTGTGAACTTGTTTCCTGCACACCACAGGTCAAACACCAACAGGACGGTGGGACCATGCAGCACTGAGGACAGAACACATGAACAACAGGAGGAAATAGTTTGATAATAGCACTACAGGTCAGGAGATAGGTAGTATAAAAAAAATATACATGAGGATCCAATAAGAAGTATGAAATGTTGCCAGGGCTCAAAGGACTCTTTTACAGTGTTTGTTATATGTTGGCCTCAGATTCAATCCATCACTATATGTATGAAGAATCAACTTTTCTAGGTAATGATAACATTCAGTTGGTTTCATATGTAGTGAAACACACAGAGAATCAGTAAAGATAGCACTGGAATAAGTGTTGCAGAAAAAACTCAGCAATATTAGAATGTATTTAGAAAGCAATCAAACAAACACACATATAGTATTTCACCCATACATGCAGTGTTGTAGAAAATACTTTGAAACCAAAGCTTTAAAAGCTTACAGTAACTTCACTAGGAAACTACAGGAATGCTGGATAAGAAGTCATTAAAAGCCTTGAATCAGTACGCAAATATGAATGTAGTTGAGCTACCAGCAAGCTACTAAAACAACAAACTACTGGTATGAGTAGAGACAACACACACAACACTGCTTACCGGTATACATCGCTTAACTCAATGAGCAGACAAACATTCAGCTTGTTGGATTCAACAGAGGGTCTAATAGAACTTGAGTGTACAGTTTAACTTGATAAAAGGTTCTTAGCTCATTGAGAAAACAGCAACAAAGTTTAGCCCAGCAACATGTTTCACCAACACCGACCCTGCTTTCATCAGAGTCCACTCCTATAAATAGTTTCAGCAGCAAAGGAGGCCATTCTGAGACGCCAGCAGAGCCCAAATGGAACTTCTAGGCAGAGCATGGACACCCTGAGTGGTTTTCACTGCCTGACAAACACACACACACACACACACAAAGTCCACCAGAGGCCTAAGCCCATTACCTCCTCTCCAGGCCTGGTTAACCTTCCAATTTTCTAGCTGTGGCGTCAGGGCCGAGGCAGGGTAGGACCCGAGTCAGCAGAGAGCACACACTCACTAAGTCCTGAGTGAGTGGGAGAGCAACCTCAGGGGCGGGGTCACAGTCAGCATAGCACAGTAAGGCTGTGGTCTGAGCATAGAGTGGCGGAGTTATGTGAGAGGAGCTGGGCAGGGGTATAGATGAGGGACAGCTGCTGAAATACAGGAGGGGGGGGGGCTATTAATAGAATTTGCAGAACGACATCAATTAACTCAGTCACTTTTCCCTGCCACTCTCTACTCCTGGTGACATGATGGTATGCAAACTTTTATAAGCCCTTTCAATGTGAACAAAAAAAACAATTATAGGGTACTATGGCACGATACTTAGTGCAACACAAAATCAAAACAATCTGAAGACAGAATGAAAAAGCTAAATAAAAATGTTACAACTATTGGAGGAAGCTGGCCTCCTTCAGTCAGTCTGCTTCTTGCTCAATGAGGTAATTGGCTAATCACACTTGAGATAATTCCCCAATCAAAACAGACCAATTTAGATTAAATCTTATTTTATCTTCAATTCCCCCCAACAATATAAAATCAAGCAAGACATCTGTCTCACTGAGAAGAATACAAACAATCAAACAAGAAACCTCTTCAAGAAAGTCAATGTAAAGGGAGCCTGTTGTCCCATAAACCCTTGCATTGACATACCGTAGATAAACATGCAAACGACACCATGCCTTAAATATTGTAGAGTATTGGTCCCTACACCACAAGAGGGAGCTCTGAACTAATGTATGAATTCTTCATTTTCACAGAGGGTTTTTGCTTAAGCACACAACTGACCTATGAGAAATGAAGAACCAAAAAACTAATTATTTTTATTTGTACAAAAACACCGGTCAAGAATCTGAATGTCTTAAAATGAGTCAATTTAGTTATTATAATATGACCCCTATTTTCTCCAAATCTCAACAAATGTTTAAAGGCATGGCTGAAAGGGAGAGCCCTTTAGTAACTGCATTGCCCTGAAACCAGTTGGGTTAAAAACCAGTGTGATGGCAACTTGCTTGGAGGTAGTTATTCAACCTATTGGTGCCTTGCAGTTAAACCACAAGAGGGATATGTAGCAACAGGCTTGGCAGGGCAGGCATGTGCTAATCCAATCCTGGCACACTTTTCCCCTTCATATACTTACTAACAGTTGAATTTTTTTAAAGATGAACTCATTATGGACAAAGTGATAACTAGCTACTTGCTGAATTTATGGATTTAAATTTATCTTTAGCTATTTTTGTCTTCTAGTTAACTTTAATGTGCACAAACATGTCTCTAACATGTTTCTTCTTCTGGGTAAATCAAAAGCTCACATATTAGCACTCCTCACGACCAAGGAAAACACACAGTCTAGCTGCTCGATCTAGCACAGCCTGTTAATCCCCTGAGTCAGTTACTGGGACACAGCACTGTGTGGGCTGTTAGTCTACACATGGTGAGTGCAGAGTAAAGATTAAAGACTCTATATACCGTAAACACCGCTCACTCTTTTCCACTTAAATCCTTCAATATCGAGAAATCTGTTTAGATCAGTTTCATGGTGTTTATACCACTACATGTATTTTGAATATGTGGTACTTGGATTATGCTAAACAAGACCTCATAATTCTGTCACCCGTGTAAACAAGGTAAAACTGAGTAGAACAGACAAAAATGGTAAAAACACAGAAGATGTATGAGTCAAAATCTGAAGACAGCATAGCAAAATCAATTACAGATAATTACAAAATGTATTGGTGGAAGAAGATCATTCAAATCAACATTATTTTCCAGGAGAATCAGGTGGAAATCAAGGAGACATTCCAGGATGTGATTCAGATTTGATGCTTTAGAGCAAATAGGCCTCAGAATCCAGTAAGCATTTCTTCTTGAAAGTAGGCTGCATGGGCACAATATAGGAGTAGAGGATTTGTACTCAGGATGGTTCTCACTCATGCTTTCTTTAGGAAGAAGCAGGAACCAAGTCAAAATGACCAATTAGAGAGGCAATGGCAACTTCTTCATTCAAAACACAGCACATGTACAGACAGGAATAGTAGTAGATGCTTGATAAGGAAGCTAACAAGCATTTGATTTCAAATGAGTTATTCTGCGTAAAACAGAATCATATGTATACATTGCATATAAAAGCAGTGACACTAATAAAAAACATTATGCAATAGATAATGAGACTGAATGAAAATACATCCTGCTTGTGGCTGATAAGACGAGGGTGTGTCTGACAAGTGTGTGTGTATCTCATTGACTGACAGTTAGTAACACACCCAAATATGTCAAGCTTTGTCTGCATAAATATGTCTAACTAAATAAACAAAACAAAATAAGCAGTTACAGTAACTGGTAACATGACAGGTCCGCATATGAAACCTGTGTCACTGTACGTGTCAGGCAGCAGAAGTATTATAGTAATAGATGTTAAAGATGAGGACATCTTCAGAAAAGCCTTGATTAAGAAGGAAACAGTTTATTCCGAAAGCTGCACCTCTGTCTAATCCAAACTAATAATGATGCTCTCTGCTTCCAGCATCAACCCATTCTAAAGGGGCATCATGTGATTTATCTGGGCTGCTTGAGGAGGACATTAAAACATTTCCTTAAACAGGAAACGCATGTGATGGGAATAAATAATGAACAGATATTAGATGAAACATTTGGCGGTATAACTTCAGCATTGACATTCTGTTTTATTCAATGAAAACAAATAAGTTGAAAATTGTGTTGTAGGATACTATTGAAATATCCCCGAGATCTGCTTTATTCTATTTTCAAATTGCAGCGAAATGAAAAGACACTTATTTTGAGAGGAGGAGATCAAGATCTAAAGTCATTGTAATATATTGTATGTAAATATTTGGATCATTTGCTTGTTGGCCAATAAGCATTTCAAGTCAAATGTCATGTCAGCCCTGCCAAAAGACTCAAGTGTAAAATAAAAACAACGAGAATTGTGGTGTACAGAATATAAACCAGTATTCAGTATTTTTTGGCACCACATACTTCCTGAGAGCATGCTGCAAAGAAAGTGTGTCAACTTGGTTTCATAATCCCTCCAGCCAACTGACTTCCCTCAACCAGCTGGAAAATTCACATTGGCTCGCAATCCAGCTCCCTATACAGAGAGTCTGTAGTCCACCTCCCTATACAGACAGTCTGTAGTCCACCTCCCTATACAGACAGTCTGTAGTCCACCTCCCTATACAGACAGTCTGTAGTCCACCTCCCTATACAGAGAGTCTGTAGTCCACCTCCCTATACAGACAGTCTGTAGTCCACCTCCCTATACAGACAGTCTGTAGTCCACCTCCCTATACAGACAGTCTGTAGTCCACCTCCCTATACAGACAGTTTGTAGTCCCACTCCCTATACAGACAGTTGCAGTCCACCTCCCTATACAGACAGTCTGCAGTCCACCTCCCTATACAGACAGTCTATGAGGCAACACATACATAACACCTGCTAATATGCAGCCTAGCATGATCCCCTAAAGGCCTTGTTAAGACACTTGTTTAGATTAGTTGATCCTTCATGAGATCCCCATCAGTCTGCTTCATGGGTGTCTTCAGTATCTTTTGTAAATTTGCATTTGAAGCTCTGGGTCTTAAACCTATTCATAAATTCTGATGTGAAAATGTAATACAATACTGCATACAATCACAAACTTTGTTAAGTAAAAGTTCTTCTTTTGGAACAGTAGGTCAAATGTATTTTTCATCAATGGGTGACATCTCTGCAATGGGATGTCCCAAGGACCAGAGACTCAATTAGACCATTGTGGACGTGAGGTGTCTTCACAGTGT